TGATGAAAATCAGCCAGGCGCGCAGTCAGGATTTTAAAAAGGGGGTGTTTCAAAACCGAAAATTTCCATTTCCTTATGAAACAGTCGCCGCGATTACGCTCTCATTAAAAAGGCCGAGTTTTTCAGCGTATACCAACATTCTCTCCAGTAAAAATATTCATTTCATGATAGCTACGAGAATCTAAAACTTTCTTCTATATTGATATAATCTTGTGTCCAACGTAACTCGCGGTTACGTCTTCTTGCGTCAAAATATAAACATTATTAGTCTGGAAATACCACTCAATCTTTTGATGTAAAAATATGAATAAACATGCCTAATGGCTAATTGTATTTAGTTTCGATTGATTGTATAATAACTCTCAGCGAATTTCAATTCTGGGCAAAATAAAGTAATTATTATCGTTGTCGTGAAATAATTGTTGTGATTCAGGGAGAATAAACACCAACTAAAAGTGTTTACGGCCTAAATAACACGTCACGCTGATAAAAACAATCAGGAATTTTAGCGAAAAGCAATCGCACGCGCTATTTTGTGACTTTTTCAGTTTTTCCATAAATTTGAAAGGAGGGGGGAATTATAAAATCGCGAGTGGAAGGACTTTCTATTAATATTTACGTAATTTTGATGAAAAGGGGTATCTTCAACAGGGGAGTACTCCTTTTTCTAAGTTCGAGTAGTTTTAGGTTCAATGTGTGTGATAAACTTCATATATTCTGCTTTGATATGAAATTATAAAATCGCGTGCCTCTTGAGCGGAACATATTTCTATTAATATTTGAAAATTGCAAAATTTAACCCTTTTTCGCTTTACGTAATTTTGATGAAAAGGGGTATCTTCAACAGGGGAGTACTCCTTTTTCTAAGTTCGAGTAGTTTTAGGTTCAATGTGTGTGATAAACTTAATATTCTACTTTGATATGAAATTATAAAATCGCGTGCCTCTTGAGCGGAACATATTTCTATTAACATTTGAAAATTGCAAAATTTAACCCTTTTTCGCTTTACGTAATTTTGATGAAAAGGGGTATCTTCAACAGGGGAGTACTCCCTTTTCTAAGTTCGAGTAGTTTTAGGTTCAATGTGTGTGATAAACTTAATATATTCTACTTTGATATGAAATTATAAAATCGCGTGCCTCTTGAGCGGAACATATTTCTATTAACATTTGAAAATTGCAAAATTTAACCCTTTTTCGCTTTACGTAATTTTGATGAAAAGGGGTATCTTCAAACAGGGGAGTACTCCTTTTCTAAGTTCGAGTAGTTTTAGGTTCAATGTGTGTGATAAACTTAATAATTCTACTTGATATGAAATTATAAATCGCGTGCCTCTTGAGCGGAAATATTTCTATTAACATTTGAAAATTTGCAAAATTTAACCCTTTTTCGCTTACGTAAGTTTGATGAAAAGGGGTATCTTCAAGGGAGTATCCCTTTTCTAAGTTCGAGTAGTTTTAGGTTCAATGTGTGTGATGAACTTAATATATTCCTACTTTGATATGAAATTATAAAATCGCGTGCCTCTTGAGCGGAACATATTTCTATTAACATTTGAAAATTGCAAAATTTACCCTTTTTTCGCTTTAGTAATTTGATGAAAGGGTATCTTCACAGGGAGTACTCCTTTTCTAAGTTTCGAGTAGTTTTAGGTTCAATGTGTGTGATAAACTTAATATATTCTACTTTGATATGAATTATAAATCGCGTGCCTCTTGGAGCGGAACATATTTCTATTAACATTTGAAAATTGCAAAATTTAACCCTTTTTCGCTTTACGTAATTTTGATGAAAAGGGGTATCTTCAACAGGGGGAGTACTCCTTTTCTAAGTTCGAGTAGTTTTAGGTTCAATGTGTGTGATAAACTTAATATATTCTACTTTTATATGGGATTATAAAATCGCGTACCTCTTGAGCGGAACATTTTCTATTAACATTTGAAAATTGCAAAATTTAACCCTTTTTCGCTTTACGTAATTTTGATGAAAAAGGGTATCTTCAACAGGGGAGTACTCCCTTTTCTAAGTTCGAGTAGTTTTAGGTTCAATGTGTGTGATAAACTTAATATATTCTACTTTGATATGAAATTATAAAATCGCGTGCCTCTTGAGCGGAACATATTTCTATTAACATTTGAAAATTGCAAAATTTAACCCTTTTTCGCTTTACGTAATTTTGATGAAAAGGGGTATCTTCAACAGGGGAGTACTCCCTTTTCTAAGTTCGAGTAGTTTTAGGTTCAATGTGTGTGATAAAACTTAATATATTCTACTTTGATATGAAATTATAAATCGCGTGCCTCTTGAGCGGAACATATTTCTATTAACATTTGAAAATTGCAAAATTTAACCCTTTTTCGCTTTACGTAATTTTGATGAAAAGGGGTATCTTCAACAGGGGAGTACTCCCTTTTCTAAGTTCGAGTAGTTTTAGGTTCAATGTGTGTGATAACTTAATATATTCTACTTTGATATGAAATTATAAAATCGCGTGCCTCTTGAGCGGAACATATTTCTAATTAACATTTGAAAATTGCAAAATTTAACCCTTTTTCGCTTTACGTAATTTTGATGAAAAGGGGTATCTTCAACAGGGGAGTACTCCCTTTTCTAAGTTCGAGTAGTTTTAGGTTCAATGTGTGTGATAAACTTAATATATTCTACTTTGATATGAAATTATAAAATCGCGTGCCTCTTGAGCGGAACATATTTCTATTAACATTTGAAAAATTGCAAAATTTAACCCTTTTTCGCTTTACCGTAATTTTGATGAAAAGGGGTATCTTCAACAGGGGAGTACTCCCTTTTCTAAGTTCGAGTAGTTTTTAGGTTCAATGTGTGTGATAAACTTAAATATATTCTACTTTGATAATGAATTATAAAATCGCGTGCCTCTTGAGCGGAACATATTTCTATTAACATTTGAAAATTGCAAATTTAACCCTTTTTCGCTTTACGTAATTTTGATGAAAAGGGGTATCTTCAACAGGGGAGTACTCCCTTTTCTAAGTTCGAGTAGTTTTAGGTTCAATGTGTGTGATAACTTAATATATTCTACTTTGATATGAAATTATAAAATCGCGTGCCTCTTGAGCGGAACATATTTCTATTACATTTGAAAATTGCAAAAATTTAACCCTTTTTCGCTTTACGTAATTTTGATGAAAAGGGGTATCTTCAACAGGGGAGTACTCCCTTTTCTAAGTTCGAGTAGTTTTAGGTTCAATGTGTGTGATAAACTTAATATAATCTACTTTGATATGAAATTATAAAATCGCGTGCCTCTTGAGCGGAACATATTTCTATTAACATTTGAAAATTGCAAAATTTAACCCTTTTTCGCTTTACGTAATTTTGATGAAAAGGGGTATCTTCAACAGGGGAGTACTCCTTTTCTAAGTTCGAGTAGTTTTAGGTTCAATGTGTGTGATAAACTTAATATATTCTCTTTGATATGAAATTATAAAATCGCGTGCCTCTTGAGCGGAACATATTTCTATTAACATTTGAAAATTGCAAATTTAACCCTTTTTCGCTTTACGTAATTTTGATGAAAAGGGGTATCTCAACAGGGGAGTACTCTCTTTTCTAAGTTCGAGTAGTTTTAGGTTCAATGTGTGTGATAAACTTAATATATTCTAACTTTGATATGAAATTATAAAAATCGCGTGCCTCTTGAGCGGAACATATTTCTATTAACATTTGAAAATTGCAAAATTTAACCCCTTTTTCGCTTTACGTAATTTTGATGAAAAGGGGTATCTTCAACAGGGGAGTACTCCCTTTTCTAAGTTCGAGTAGTTTTAGGTTCAAATGTGTGTGATAAACTTAATATAATCTACTTTGATATGAAATTATAAAATCGCGTGCCTCTTGAGCGGAACATATTTCTATTAACATTTGAAAATTGCAAAATTTAACCCTTTTTCGCTTTACGTAATTTTGATGAAAAGGGGTATCTTCAACAGGGGAGTACTCCCTTTTCTAAGTTCGAGTAGTTTTAGGTTCAATGTGTGTGATAAACTTAATATATTCTACTTTGATATGAAATTATAAAATCGCGTGCCTCTTGAGCGGAACATATTTCTATTAACATTTGAAATTGCAAAATTTAACCCTTTTTCGCTTTACGTAATTTTGATGAAAAGGGGTATCTTCAACAGGGGAGTACTCCCTTTTCTAAGTTCGAGTAGTTTTAGGTTCAATGTGTGTGATAAACCTAATATATTCTACTTTGATATGAAATTATAAAATCGCGTGCCTCTTGAGCGGAACATATTTCTATTAACATTTGAAAATTGCAAAATTTAACCCGTTTTCGCTTTACGTAATTTTGATGAAAAGGGGTATCTTCAACAGGGGAGTACTCCCTTTTCTAAGTTCGAGTAGTTTTAGGTTCAATGTGTGTGAAAAACTTAATATATTCTACTTTGATATGAAATTATAAAATCGCGTGCCTCTTGAGCGGAACATATTTCTATTAACATTTGAAAATTGCAAAATTTAACCCTTTTTCGCTTTACGTAATTTTGATGAAAAGGGTATCTTCAACAGGGGAGTACTCCCTTTTCTAAGTTCGAGTAGTTTTAGGTTCAATGTGTGTGATAAACCTAATATATTCTACTTTGATATGAAATTATAAAATCGCGTGCCTCTTGAGCGGAACATATTTCTATTAACATTTGAAAATTGCAAAATTTAACCCGTTTTTCGCTTTAAACGTAATTTTGATGAATAAAGGCATAATCAACACGGGATATTTATAAAAAATTAGTTGCTAACTATTTATTATGCTTATTTTATCAAGCAATTAATGCTTTTGCTTTGTAAATGGTAATTTTAGTTTTATTTAATAAATATCTTTCCTTTTTTGTTTTGTTAATTTTACCTGTCTACATTTTTTCAGTTGTAAATAATGACACGCCTACAATTCTGCCAAGAATTTTAACCTTTTCGCCTCGCCGCACACAAAGGTCAAATTCTACTAGCTTCACAGCGGTGTTTTTACCTCACTCTTGGGGGACGCGGCGGTTTCGCTTTTCATTCGCGAGTTTGAGCTGTTGCTTGGTTGAGGGCCAATGTTGCACCTGGAGTGTACTGGATCAGGTGGAACTCGTAATATCTTTTTCGAAGGTATAAAATACGGTACTATATATACTATGCTGACTATATTAGATAGGATGTCTGAAGTCCGGTACCTGCCATACAGTTCTTCAAGTTGTGTTAATGCCACTGCTTACGGTACTACCGCGTTTCCCCAAAAATAAAACCTTGTCCGAATTATGAAAATTATTGTAATATAATCCCTTTAAAATGATAGTCCATACCTAAATTAGAAGAAATTGTAACTTGATGGCAAATTTGTGGAGCGAAATCACACAGTATGACAAACCTTTCAAATATAGCATCGGGCCTAAAGACTCCAATCATGAAATAACAAAACATGTTGATTCTAAACAATCATATATTATAGTATATATTTCGATACAAGGTGAAATGACACAAAGTTTCAAACCCCGATATGACATTACTGTTTAACATATATAATAATGTTCGTTGCAGTTTTGATTTTATATATTAGAATCTGAACCTATACCGTATATTATTTACATTAAAAACATGAACTATGACAATAGACAATACGTTTATTTCGTCGTGCCAGAAATCACAACACAAGTTCACAACAGATAAAAAATTATGCATTACAGTAACAGATTTCATTGCAATTGACAGGAAATCGCGAAAGGACCGAAATGGTCATCATAAGTCAGCGACACCTAGATTTAAGACGAGTCAAAAGTAAAAATTGCAATTAAAGAAAGCAATGGATACAAAGAGAAACTTAGTCATTCAAAAAATTACCAACGAAACAGGGAGTGATATAAATATTCATGGGAGAGAGAAAAAAACATGAGACGGGAAAATTCAGCGATTGATTTTTTTTTTATCTTCGTTCATTTCGTCATGCAGGAAATAATACACAAATTCAAGGCACAGCTTATACAATACAGAAACGGATTTAGTCGCAATTTAAAAGCAGGTGGCTTTCATCGCAAGAAACAGAAGGGGTCATAATAAGTCTGCGACACCAACATTTGAAATGAGTCAAAAATTGAAATAATAAAAAAGGTAACGGTAGAGAATATTAGTCATTCGAAAAAATTGTCCAACAAGGGGAGGGAGGGTAAAGATTCCTGTGAAACATCACATATAATTTTAGAATGAGATAAAAAAAAGTCTGGGAAATACAATAAGACACAGTAGTTTTGAGAAGAAAAAAACGATTTAGCATATCAATTTCCTAAACTTCTGTATAATGGCAACTATTAAATATTGTCACTTGCAACATCAAATCGAGCTATATTTTTTATTTGCAGAAGAATAAATAAATAAAAAATTACATAACTTTTAGGTACGAATGCGAAAGCAGAATTCATACTCCATGTACATCCAACATATGAAATTTGAAAGTGAGAGGAGAAAATGATGCAGTTTAAATCATCTGACTATGAAATAGGAAGAACAGTCTCGGTGAACTTATTGCCACCAACTAAGATATGTCAGTCGGGCCATCAAAAATCCAGAGAACAGAAACATATTCAAGCCTTAAGTCTAAAGGTGATTGCATGAGTAATGAAAAAATTTAGAATGAGGTGATCGAGGTATGTCATATTTGATAAAGCAAAAATCAATTCATCGCGACTGTAAAAGCTATCATTTTCATTCCCAAAGTCACCACCATTTTATACAATTCATGATTCGTTGCTGTTCTAACATAGGTAATATATTCAAAAATTTGCATTGCAACCTTATTCATCATGTATGTTTTTCTCAATATATTTCAGATGGTGATTATACAATCACAAAAAGAGCTGTGGTGCTAAGCATTCTTGGTTGGGAAAGTTGAATTGTGTTCTCATGTTGTTGCAATATATTTTGAACCTACTTATGTTGGGAATTCTAAATTAAGCAAAATATTATTGTGTACAAATTTGAATAAAGAAATTGTTTCTTTTTTAATGCTGTTGCAACCAAAGCCAGTGTAATAAGACCAGATCCCAATTTATCGTAAATGTGAGACATAACTTTCTTCGAAAATTTAAGTCTACCTTAAATTTCAAATGCCATTCACTTATTAATTTCTTGCATATCACCATTATTGCAATTTATACAAATCAACTTATGTAAAATTTCATTTTTAATAAAAATAAAAAATATCATAATTATTGTTGAGTGTTCGAGGGGTGCGAGTTTGACATCCTCTGGTCTACCGTGCTGAGAATGCATCCAAATGATATCCAGGCTTCAGCCCCAATCATCTATTAAACAAATTCCACAGTCCCAACAACTTGGGGGATCATTCGTTTTCCTAATTTTCAATTGTAATCTTCTTATTAAAACCTGATTGGTACCTAATCAAGGGTGAAATTTCTTTCTTGATAGCTGCTTTCTCCCTCTATATAGTTACATAACATTCTTTTGCAGTGCATTACAATATATAATACAATTTTATTTCGATTACTTTTACTTTGCAAAGTACGTCATTTCATAGATAGCTCTTAGGTATGTAATCCTTTTCCTCTGGAAAGTTTAGCTCCCAAATATCAGGCAAATCCTGCTCGGTGTATTCCAGTGCAATGACTGAATGAGAAAATCCAGTCTGCCAGTACCATCACTTTTGAAGTAGCTCCGTCTGATTTGTGTGACTGTGTAACAGAGCAGCTCAAATGCATAACAGATATACAAGCTAGTCTGTATTCAATCTATAAATGAGAAAAAGACTGTTGAAAAAACGCACAGCGATATATTTAATTAAACAAGTCAAAGCAACGCACAAGTATAAGGACAACTAATCTCGCTTCCGTTTACGACTGGAATTTGGATGCGGCGGAACGAGGGAGTGTTTTTGAAATTTATGCGAATTTCGGTGTTTTTTGGGTGGTAATAGAAGACATATCATCCCTTCCATCTACCAAAGTATTTTGAGTTAGATCACGAAATTGCTACAGCAATATTATGATACTGTTTGCTAACCACGAAGCGGTAACAGTAAAGGATTCAGCGAATATTTCTATTTTTTATCACGGTTTGGAGTTTCAACTCACAAGAAAAAAAAAATGCCTTTTTTCTATCCGGTTTGTGACTCAGACCACCACTTTTAAACGAGCCGTCAGTGGGCAGCAGAGGATCATTAGTTTTTCGTTAGTCGATCGATTATTTGTGGGGGTACAAATGCATAAAATCGGCGTAGCAAATACGATTATTTAATAAAAAATGAAAATCGCATGGAAAGGGTTAAGATCGCTACGCTAAATATAGGCCGGAGATAAAATATGGCCAAATACAGGTAAATGGAGAGGCGATTCCGATAAGCCACCTTGAGTAATTAATCCACGACATACGCAAATTGAAAAAAAAAGTCAAAATAAGTAGGGCATGGCGGACTGTGATCTATCAGCGTCTCATAATTAATAATAATAATAATAAACAATTCAAGATCAGGCGGGCGAATAGGCGAGAAAAATCGACACAAATGATTGATTTCTGTCAAATCCCATAAAAAATGCATTGCGCGAAAGATGGAAGTCTATCGCCAAAACGAGAGAGGCTTCAATTGGTCCCGCTGAAATGAGAGAGAAGCACACTCTATATTTATATATCTCTGTGGTCGCAAACTCTAACTCACTGGTAAATCGGCTGCCTTCGTTAAATTTTTTGTATCAAGGTTAAATTAAAAAGGGACGTATGGTAGGCCTAATTATTATAATATTTATTTTCACCTGATTCAGACCATACATGAGCATCGTCAATTTAAATTTGGTTTCCTGTTTTGTTTTCTTCAACGATTCAGTTCAAAAAGTGAGGATCTTAAGCTTATAAAATGGGTATGAGCTTATAGATACAGATCATAAAATTATGACGGAAATGAAACAAAAGATTAATGGGCGAATCAACTTTACTGAAATTTGTTGCGAGAAATAGAATTCTGTTGCAACTATGATGATTAGTGATATCGTCGGAGTTATTTTTCGCAACTACACTTCCGCCCAAATACTTAGTTTTCATTTATTGTCTTACCACTTTTGTAATTGAGTATCCGCCAGTCAGTGATTTCCCTACACCCCCCCTATAGGGGGTGAACACCCCCCATAAAATTTCAAACACCCCCCCTAATTTTGAGGTGCGATTCCACACTTTATTTCCAAACTCAAGTATAATTGTATTCAAATATAACGAGTATGACATATTTATCAGTGTAGATGAGGGGTTCTAAACGCGTGTATTTCAAAATTTAATTCATTGCTTAATTCATACAAAAGTCAAACACACATGTTCAAAAAAATGTGAAATGTGTAACAAAACAAGCCATAAGTAGCCATTCATACAATGCCAGATGAGCAGGTAACTTCATTAGTCACTATCAGTTGCAAATTACTTGTTGGAACGTAGTAGTATATATATATTTACGGTTGAAAGCCGTGCTTGTTATCTATTTCCCGGGAATTCTATCAGCTAAATATTATAATTATTGATTTCATTACATAACAAACTGTGATGCTAGGTGTATCTAAAATCAAGCTTAGAGCCTATTTTGGTGCCTATTTCTCAAAATTTTCTCAGGGCGCTTAAGCGCGCCCTGAACCGCAGCCGTGTCGTCCCGCACTTTTCCTCGCTCCCCTTTTCTGGCCCTACAATTTTATTCTGCTGTGGATTTTGGCTCGCCGTCAATCAACTTGGGGGACCCCCTCATGCACATCGTTTCTTAAATACATACCATTTTTTTAAGAATACAAATAACCTAGTATCATCTCTAATAGCAAATTATTTACCACCCCTCTAAATTTCGAAACACCCCCCCCCCCTAAAATAAAAGCTGGGGAACATACTGCCGCCAGTGTTTATGGGATTGATGCAGCTTTCTCCTTCTATTAATAATTGACCATCGCAGTCATCCGAAATCAGGAAATGGGTAAGTTACCGTAACTAGTTAGATTTTCCTGGAAGGCTAATCTTATTTTCGCGGAATTGTTTTTTTGTGGTATAAATTGGAGCGATGATTCGTTTTTCACTGGACGCTGGTAAAGTCTAGGCATGGTTGCTTTTCTCGAGCCTCAATAATTGACCATCGCATTCGTATTACGTCATTGGGGATATTTGCCCTTTATTTAAAACTTGTTGTTCCTCACTCAGTCATCCGAAATCAGGAAACAGCCATAGAAGTAGACCAAAAATTATGGAATATGAAAAAAGGGGGCAGAAGAGATTTACCCATGCATAGGCTGTATATAGCGGAAAACATTCCTATAACTATACATGGAGTACCTTTCCCAATGAAAGATGAAGCAATAAAAGAACATTTTGAAGAAAACTATGGAAAAATTACAAATAAAATAGAACAATTAACAGATGACAAAGGCATGAAAAATGGAATGAGAAGAATTTTCTTGAAAACCTCAGACATAATCAATAATCCAGTTAAAAGTTATATAAAAATCAAAGGGCATACTCTATTTGTTAAATACTGGAACCAAAAACCTACTTGCAGAATTTGTGGCAGCGAAGACCATTTGATGGAGAAATGTGAAAGGTATATACCAAGAAATGAAAGAATTGAAGTTAAAAGAAGAGAAACTAAAGAAACAATGGTTGAAAAACCAGAAATATCAGGACAAACAACAGTGAATGAAACAAGCAATGAATATGAAACGACAGACCAAGATATTACAATTTTGAAAAGTAAAGAATTAGAAACATTTGAAAACCCAAGATTAAACATAAAAGATAAACCAATGAATAAGAAAACATCAGATGGATCTGGGAGCATAGAAAACGAAAAAGATGAAAATATTCAAAGTACTCCAGCAAATTACATCGTAATCACAAATGATGAAAATAGCGACAGTGAAACAAAATTCAGATCTGAATTATTCGGTAACTTATCAGAAATCAGTGCAGAAGATAGTGATAAAGAAATTAGAGATGTTTTCTGTAATACAGAATCACAACAAGATATTATGCCATTGGATGCTTCTAAAAATAATGATGAAGAAAGCAAAAAAGAATCCAGTGTAGGAAGCACCATAGAAATATATAAAACAATAAACATTGACATAATAAAGATAGCGTAACTAAAAATTCGGATGAAAATAGTACTAAGTCGCCTAAAAGTCAAAGTCCAAAAAAGAAGAAAAAAAGACTAAAAAGTCGAACAATGACACTTGAACAAGCAAGAAAATTTATAGACGAAGAAATGGATACAGATTGATATTCATTGTTAAACACAAATTGTTAAATCTCCAATTAATTGACTCTAAATAATTGTAATGGTAATTTTTCTTTCTGCTCTTACTTTGAATGTGAACGGTATCCGGGATGACCAAAAAAGAAGAAACTTATTTAATGAACTCTCCAAACGGAATGCAGACATCATTTTTATACAAGAAACTCACAGCACACCAGAGGTAGAAAGGAAATGGAGCAAAGAATGGACATTTGGAAACAGTATTTGGAACTCGGCAATCATCAAACTCTAGAGGAGTAGCAATACTACTCAAATCAAAATTAAATAGTTTTGAATTACAAAACATTTTATGGGATAACGACGGAAGAACATTAGCAGCAGATATTAATGTATATGGTGAAAAACTACATTTAGTAAACATATATGCACCATGTAGAACTAATAATAAATATACAAGACAATTTTTATGAATGGGTTATACAGATTTATTTTTTCACAACATAGAATAATTTTAGGGGGGACACAAATTGTGTACATGACATTGATAGAGATAGAACTGGTAATATTAAAAGACCGAGACGAGAATATGTCTCAGACACTCTAAATGAATTGATTGAATGTTTTGAGCTAACTGATTCCATTGAATTAATTTCTAATGTAACACCATTTTATACCTGGCGTAATTACCAAGTTCAAGCCAGACTAGATAGGTTTTATGTTACATCCAATGAAACTATTGTCCAAAAAATAATGTGTGAACCAACTATTTATTCTGATCACGATGTATATTTAATAATGATTGAAATTAAAACAAAAATGGAAGAACGTGGAAAGGGCTATTGGAAAAATAATGTTAGAGTGTATGATGAAGAAGAATATATTTTAGAATTAAAAAATAAATGGGACAATTGGATCACATTACAGTGGCTATTTCCAACTAAAGCTGAGTGGTGGATTGAGATAAAAGAAAAAATCAAAAACTTAACAATTAGATTTTCTGTCAAAATGGCCAAGAAAGAAAGAGAAGAATATAAAATTGAATTGGATAATTTGAAGTTATTGAAAAAAAAAACTGGATAAAGGAGAAAGAGTGATGACAAGATTTAAACAAACAAAACAAAAATTAATCAGGATGCAGAAGAAAAAGAATGAGAAAATTGGTATAACAAAGGAATGCAGAAGAGTATGATAGTCATGAGAAATGCAACAAATATTTTTTCAAATTATTCAAAAACAAGACAGAAAGAATCAAAGTATAAGGAAACTAATAAATAAAAATGGAGATGAATGTGAAACTATCCAAGATAAAATGAACATTGCGAAAGAATTTTTACCAAGAATTGTATACCAAGAGACATTGTGATGAAACAAAACAAGATTATTTTTAAAACAAGTAGGATGAATCATATCGCAAAATAAATGAGGAACAAGCAAATAATTTAGAAGACATAATACAACTAGATGAGATAATGGGGGTCATCCAAAACTTAAAAGGAAACAAATCGCCTGGTCCTGATGGAATAACAATAGAATTTTATAAAAAGACCTGGGAAATTATTAAAGATGAATTTTTTGAAGTAATACAAGAAATATTTATAACAAATGATATGCCGAAAGAAATGAAAATGGGTTACATAACTTTACTATACAAAAAAGGAGAAGCAAATCTAATAAATAACTACAGACCAATAACTCTTTTAAATTCAGATTATAAAATATTTAGTAAAATTCTTGCCAACAGAATCAAAATAATTCTACCAGACATCATAGATAGACACCAAGGTGCTGTACCAGGGAGGAGGATAAGTGACACACTGTTAATTATTAGAAATATTTGTATACAAGAACAAAATAAAGTAGGGGAAAAGGCATTATTATCGTTAGATTTCATGAAAGCATATGATTCAGTAGATTTAGATTATTTATATAGAATTTTAGAAAGATTGGCATAAAAAATAAATTTATCATGTTATTACACAGTCTATATGAAGGTGCTGAGACTAGAATACTAATAAACGGTTATTTAAGTGAAAAAATCAAACCGGGAAGGGGAATTAGACAAGGTGACCCAATGAGTATTTTTATGTACATCATAGCAATAGAACCTTTTGTTAATTAGTATAAAACTTGAATGGAAATGTTCAAGGAATCGTGACGCCAGGAAATATGGAACTGAAAAATTTAGGATTTGCAGACGATGTTACACTATTTTAAATAAGGAAAGTTCTATAAATGAAGCATTAAAAGTTATCGATGAACATGAATTGGCTACTAGAATGAAATTGAATAGAACTAAAACGAAACTCATGAAACTCGGAATATGGACAAAGGATCCTTCATTTCAAGACATTACCATAGCAGATAAAATAGAAATATTAAGCATCAAATTTGCCAATAATAATACTGGAAATTGGAACTGGAATAATTGTCTGGAGAGAGTGAAGAAATAGGCAGTTGATCTTCAAAAATACCTCTTACTTTAGAAGGAAAATGTTTAATAATAAAGCTCAAGATATTACCTCAATTTTTGTTTTTATGTAAAATATTCCCGATGCCAAAAAATATAGCAAAAAAAGTGGATGAAATTATTGAAAAATTTGTATTCAATGGAAAAAGAAAGCTCAAAATAGAGACCATTTGTAAGCCAAAATGTATGGGGGGATACGATATAATGAATATTCCAATTTTTACAATGTCTATGTATATTATGTGTGTTTTTGAATATATAGAAACTATAGAAAATAATGTGATATTTAGTGACAGAACTATCAATTTTAATTACTTAGAAATAACATAGGGCAACAATTATGTGTTTATTTAGGTCTACCATTGAATAATAGTATATTACATAGATTTAGTCCACATGAATATTATAAAAGCGTAATTGATTTTATGAAAACTTATAGTTTAAATATGAATGATATTAAAATGGGTGAACATAGAATTATTTATGATAAAGTTTTAAAAAGTATTAATGGGGAAAGACTTGTAATTATCAGTAATTCAAATCTCAGTATAACTTGTAACAGTATTCATAATAAAATTTTGGCAAATTATATGAGGACCTTCAACTATAAGTTAATATGGGATATTCTACCCTTGAAAACAAAACCAGAGATCAAAAGAGTAGCAGGAAATGAATTATGTTTATTATGTAATATAGAACCTGAGTTTGTGTCACATATTTTTATGTTTTGTCAGTTTACTCAGAAAATTTATGATGAATTTGTTTCCTTAATTATATTAAAATTAATTAGAATAAATTTTGTTATAAATTATGATTCTTGTATATTATTGAATTTTAATGATCCTTTATTTAGTCATATAACAGCATTAGATTTGAATGCAATTATTCTTTTATTATCAATAGTGCGATATAAAATTTGGATAATGAGAAATTCTATAATATTTGAAAATAAAACACCTGACATTGCTCTCCTTAAAAAACAGATAAAAATGGCCCTAATGTATAGAAAAAATATAGAAAATTCCAGAGTAGACAAACCCTTTGAAAAAGAATTACAAAATTTATGTAAAGCATTAATTTAGATATTAAATCAGGTTTATAATAAGTTTTTGTATTTACTAATTTTGTGTATTTCCTTTTATATTGTATTATATCATTGTAATTATTAAAAAAACATTATTATCGTTGGATACTTATTACTGATGAAACAAACTGGAAATACTGTGAAACTCAATTTAACAAATGGATCATGAATGGAATGTGGACTATAATTTATTTTATTTGTTTATTTATTTTTTACATATTTATTGAAATCACTCAATGAGTGAACCAATTAAAAAAAAAAAAAAAAAAAAAAAAAAAAGGAAATGGGTAGCCTAAGTTACCGTAACTAGTTAGATTTTCCTGGAAGGCTAATCTTATTTTCCCGGAATTGTTTTTTTGTGGTATAAATTGGAGCGATGATTCGGTTTTCAGTGGACGCTGGTAAAATCTAGGCACGGGTGCTTTTCCCGACAAATGCAAAAGTAGTCTAGGCCTGCAAGCCTGAGGGTTTGCATATTTCTGTACCGGTACCACATTTGGGCAATTAGCCCAGTAATCTATGGCTGTATGGTCAGGTGGTACATTATTACGAAAATAGCAAAAGTTGGGATACCATTGTTTTTCATCACGTTTAACTAGTCCCTCGGGCCTATAGACCTAGGTATTGCAGTAGGCTATTTTCATTACAGCATTAAACTACCAATTTATCACCGAGCAGCAAGATTCCAAAGTCTCCCACAGCAGCAGAGCCAGACCACCTGACCATGTAAGTCTGTGAGTATCTGGAGTATAGACAAATGTTAGTTTTTCCATGCTGATATAAAATACATAATTGTTTATCCAAAATTCTACATTATAGCCTAATGCTGTCAGGCTATGCTGAAATATGGACAATATTCAACACAAATGGATATATTATGGCTAACACTGGATTATCAACATTGGATTTCCCATGTTTAATTTTTTTTATAACTGCTGAACTGTTTTATTCATTCTACAATTATTCAGAACTCAATGCATGCAATTGTTTTCCCCAAATACATTTTTAAAACAAAAATTGAAACTTTATTGGTCTAAAAAATGTAATTGAATATTTTTATATTGGCTGTGGAATTAGATTCAGAAGAAAAAAAGTAAATGTTAGTTGTAGCATTGCCCTATATCTGTATATAAAACAATACAATAAGCCTTCATTGTAAATTTACCTTATTTTATTGATTAAATTTGTTGTAGAATTTCTAGTGATCATCTTGGCTCCAATTCCCGAATTCAGAACTTGTAAATTTAGTAAAAGAATTGGCATTGCTTGTTGAGCTATTATAAATGGAGAATAGAAACCACGAGTGTCTTTGTTATACGATGCTTTCAACCAATATTTTTGAAAGTTTACGTTCTTTCACCGACTGACTGATATGTATTTGTTTTGATCATTTGATGAAAACGGTTACTATTTTGTTGTACTGTTGTAATAGTCTCTGAAACAAGGGTGTCTGGCACGACGACAGTTGCGGTGGCGGTGGCGGCCATCACATGACTAAGCCACGTTTCTTTGCTAAAAACTCCCGAATGCTACAGTAAACTTTTTTTTCTTTTTTAAATCGGATTATTTTTTTTTCAAGAAATCCAATGGTGACATTTTCAGTTTGCGCTTCCTTTTAGTTTATCGCACAGTGCCGATATTCCAATTTGGGAGGCCAAGACTGTCTCAAAAAGGAGGGATTTGCACTCACGATTATAATTGATAGTAATAGTACAATTGACACATGATACTGAGTGTACAACTTATTTAAACATTCGGGTAAAAAAGTTTCTGATTGACAAATTCTGGTAAACGAAGATTCAAACACTTTTCAATTTTAATCATTAAACAGTATTGAATTTTCAGACTATATAAATAGTTTCGTTTTACCCTGACCAAGACGTGGGCATTTAATTTCTGTATGAACTGTTGTTGAACAACATGAATAACAATCTGTCTTTGAAAACACAATTGTATTCACCTACTGGAATGAACGGCTTTGGAAATGATCCACCAATTTTTCCGCAAGAATCGCCCTCATCTGTTCTGGTAAGATAATCGAGAGAGGCTGTATATTTGTAATATTTCAAAATTAAAATCCTTTTTTGTTGCTGTTGTCTTAAAAACTAATCTAGAATAATATTTCAACAAATTAGCACTGTTTCAAATTTGATTATCATTTAATTTTCTATACACAATATAATGCAGCACATGATATAAACATTTGCATAGCTATTTTACACTTGTAACAAGAGCAGCTCTGTGAATGAAGGAACGAACACATTATGACTATTTTATCCAAATTGGAAATTTGTTTCAAATGGAAATGTTTTGATGAGATCCTTTATGATTTAAGGAAGGTTTCACTTTTCCAAGATATAAAATAACGAGTTCAAGTTATATTATACTATTGTATTACATATCGTTTTCTTTTGTGAACACAATTCCTTAATACAATCTACATTCTAATTTATCTAATGTTTTTTGTTCCACTTTTTAGGCTGATGTGAATCAACAGTTAAACAGTATGGAAAATAACATGGTTCCTAATTCCAGTGGACTGGGTGTAGATGATTTACCAGATTTCTTGGATGAAATCGACTTAAAGGAAATAAATGACTTAATTTATTCACATACTCCAAATGCACTTATGGATAATTATACAGTCACATCACCATTATCAGCAAATCAAATTAGAAATGGTATGTACTGTGTTGCATAATTCATTTATTGAATTATTAACTACTGGTAATTAGATAGACTATTTGTTGTACAAAATTCATTTTGCATTAAAAAAACATTCATGCTCTTTCGAGTTGATGTTCATAGCAATGGAGCAGCACTCTTTATTCCTAACAAAATTTTTATAATTCTCTGTTCTGACTTTTTGTCTATTTTTTAACTTTTGAATGCCCTTTTAATGCGGTATTGTAATTGAGAATGACAATTGAGCCAATGAAATTGAAATTAAATTGAGAGCAAATTACTTTATAAATAAAATGAAATTATGGGAAACTTGACTACACAAGAGAGATAGCAAACTGCAGCCCGTGATATGTTGCTGAACATGATATTTGGTAATCTGAATTAATTATCTTAATTAACCTTAATCTTATCTTAATTAACAACTATTTGATATAGCAAGTTGCGGAAAGTTATGAAAATATTGATGTATTGATCATTTTTTTTTGTCCGTTATAAAGCTTATAATGTAGGCTATACCAGTGATTCCCAAAGCGGGCGATATCGCCCCCCGGTGGGCGAAAACGATACAGAGGGGGGAGAAAAAGTCGAAGGGGGCGATAGGGGGCGATTTCGCGAAATCCGTTTTTGCTCTGCGCATCGTGCACTTAATTCTGTACTCTGTGTGCATTCGCAGGCTTGAATCACGTGGTCGATTATCACACTCGAATAGATTGCTGGACTCGTCTCCGCAGTAAGGTACGGTAGTTGGCATATCCCAGTGGTCGGCAAAATACGGCCGGAGTAAAAAATCTGTACCGGGACGATTCACTGAATAGACCTATCCCCGACCTTTGACCGCGGAAAATTTTTCCTATATACTTTAACATTTTGAAATTTTCGGTGCTTATTTTAAGAGTGTTTGGGAGTACATATTTGTGCGAACAATTTTTTCCTAAAATGGAGACATTACAAAGAACAAGCGAAGAACTGGGATTAGTGATGCCCATTTGGAAAATGTTCCAATCTTGGCGTCGTAAAGCTATCAAGCGTGATGCAGCAACATGACAGTGTCACATTAAATGTCATTGTAATAATTTTTTGATAAGACGACTGAGTTGAGTTCGCGAGCGACATAAAATTTGCCGACCCCTGGGCCGTAGTCGATAGTCGGTCACAGTTTTTTTCACATCCGAGTACATAAATCCCAAAACAAATAGCTGATTAATTCTATGGACTGGTGATAGGGCTGTAGGCCGTGGTAGGATGAGGAATCGGGGATGAATTTTACCGAAGTGTTTTGGTGCAGGTCATCAGGCTGTAGGAATGAATGAGATGTACGAAAATCATTATTATAACTTTGGGAAAAAAACTCTGCTTTCATTAATTTAATTTGAAATAGGGGTGAATTTAGGGAGTGAAATGCTATAAGACAAGAGTACACGACGGTTTTTGAGGAGGTAAAACCCTGGATTCTTTCATTTCCGACCTAATATAGTGTGAAAAAGGGTTTTTGAGCCGTGCTACTATTGTCATCAAAACAACGAAATCGCCTTTCCATCAGTAAACTGGGTAATTTCAGATATGATAAAAAACTTGCTGAAGAACACCAAGCTCATTCATCTCATTAAATAACACTATAAACTATGATTTGTCTTCTCATTTGGTCTGTAATATATTCGTTTCTAACTTTACATTTTTTTGTAGTGCTGGGGGGCGATGAAGTTGTATAAACTACTTTAGGGGGGTGATGGTCAAAAAAGTTTGGGAACCACTGGGCTATACATTGCATTTTATGTATTTTTTATTATCATAGAAGTATTATATATTTAGACTCTGGACCATTCAGGGGTCAATACAGAAAAATAGAAGAACTTCTCATTAACGGAAGTGAAATTGATAAGAGTGCTATCGACAGAATGTGGTTACAATGGAATGACCCATTGTTCGATATTACCTCAAGGAAAACGTTTGCTGGAGTTATTGAACAGATTAGATGGTATGATAATTGAATATTGATGCGCTGTTTTTGTCGGAAAGCATTTTTTAGAGCGTCAATTGCTTCTCATATTCCACCATTGAGTTAGTCCTTGCATCAGCTAGTTCCAAAATCATTAATTGTTTGTAATATTTGAACTAAATTTTGACAGGGACCAGCTAGATCCAACAAATGAAATGTCAAGGCTCAATTGGAATCTTACTACAGCAATGATTGGAGAGTTGAAAAGTGAAGTTGATAACTTTGTGACTCAGTATAATGGACCTTATGAACGCCTATATCCACTGAAACGATGGCAGGAAAAACTTGGGGTATGTCCTATTTGTTTTTCCATTTTGTTTTTCTTTATATTTATTACTCAAATATGATGTAAGGCACAATAAAAAGTTTCAATTTTGTATTTAACTTCTTGCCATCCTAACCAAGGTGGGAGGCAAGCTATATTCAAACAACTGTGTACAGTAGTCCCGTCCGACTCATCAGGTGCTCTTCTGAAAAATTGATATATTCCAATTCTCTATTTGAATGTATATATTTATCTGAGGCAATTAATATGACATGTTCATTGTGATATTAGAGTAAAATAGGTTATTCACTAAGGAGAAAAGAGTATGCTTGTCATTTTTTCTTATAATTTGGATTGCAGTAAAATCATAACATACACATGGCTATGACTCATAATTCTTGTTCCTCTTTTTAACTTGAACAGGATAGGACCCAGAGATATATAATGTGCAAATTTATGCTTTTTATAATCATTTGTACCTTGCAATATGGAAAGATGAGACGAGTCAGTATATTGTATTGCTAATTTATAATGGTAGTTATAGAAAGCATAAGGGACATTGAACCATTTATAAGCATTCAATTAGATTTTATGTTCTCTTTCTTTTGTATTATTTAATTATTTATTTGGTATAGAACTATTTGCCTGATCTCTCCATTTCAGTATTACATTTTAGCTAGGGGAAATACTTTTTCACCAACCATGAAAACAAGTCTGCTAGTTCATGGCATTGCGTCAGAAGTATTTTGTTCTATAAATAGACAGTTCTGGTTCCTGCTGATCAATTCTACATGTTAAGCTCTACTCAGAGCAAACATTGTAAATAAAATGTTATTTGGAAACTCTTTCTTGGTACTGCTGTGGATGTTAGTTTAATGTCAGTTATGTATTTTCAGTCAATTTTGGAATTTGGTAATATAAAAATATAAGGTACAATTATGAACAGACATCACCAGAACATAACTTCCCAATAACTTGAATGAAATAAAAATTAAATTAAATAGTACATTCAAAAACTTTTTTCAGGAATATGGTATATTAAAATTTTATCATTTTTCCTATTGATTTTCCACTTTCAAGGGAAACCATCATCTAATTTTTATATTATGAAGTGAAATGAATGACCAATTTGTAGGAAATTCAAACAGTTGTATTCCTTTTTTATCAACGAATCCTACACTCTCGTGTTTCTTTGCGATTGCATGTCTGAATAAAATTTAATCAATAAATACCTTATATTATAGTTCGATTGATGTGACAAGATTTGATAATGAAAAATATCATCCGTTGTAAACTTAAAATATTATTTTAAGTTCATTTTTTTCATTTCAAATATGATGGGTGCTGAAGGGGAAACATGAATGAAATAAACAAAATTTAAATTTATGATATAAAGTTCATTCGAGTATATCCTGTTTGTAACAGTTAATTTAATTATGAAATACATATGTACCACACTTTTCTGACTCTATGACCATAATTTCCTTCCAATACTTAGAATTGTAATTATTTCTGCCATGAACTGATGTTACTCATATCCTAGTTTGGGAAATACATGGCAATGCTTCACAACAACAATTGTTTTATACTGAGTAGCCAGAATTCAATACGAGTCAAAACCCAAGAGTTCTGTTTTCAACTGAGGAGATTATCCTAGGATTTTTGTACCAGCTCTTAAATTTTTTCACTTTGCTGCAAATTGATAGTATATCTAAAAAATGTATAATATATTTCCTTGTTTTGTCGATGAACTTTAATTTTGAATACCTGTAAAATAGCATTTTTTTATAATGGACTGTACGAAATGATAAGAATTTGTCATGGTTAATTAAGGACCCTACAGTATTAGAGTAAGATGTTTATTATCATGAATTAATATGATATTGCAAGGTAATTTTTATTTTTATGCACGTCGTAGATAGGAATGGAATTTTGCATTCCATTTATCGGCTTAGAGAAAAATTTATGACGTAGATAAGATCTTTTGGTGACTGAGGAAGCAGAACTCTTAAACCTTACTTGTTCCTTGACCACAAAATAGCGTAAATAATACTCAATTCTGGCTCCTCTGTCTGCAATATAGCTCGATCAATATCATCACCTTTCAGCCTGACTATTGAATTAATTGTCAAATTGATAAGAGAGAAGTCAAGTCTGTAAATTGGCTATAACATTTCATTTATTTTTCAAATTCAATCTTTTTAAGTTTGGCCGGGCATTAAATATTATACTTGACCAAATTCGACTGTGGATAAACTTCATGAAAGAATAATATTGTACAGGAATCGTAATATTGTAGTAATAAAAAAACTGCTCATTTTTTTAGTTATAACATTTCAGAATTTAAATCTCTATTCAGTCATTCGCATCACTTTTATAAGCTACATCGTATAGTTAGTTATGAAAACAATACTTTATTCCAAGTTCTGCAATTCCATTGAAATTGGGCCTCAAAACCTAGACTTAGACCAAAAAGCAACTCCACCTTTATTACACATACACAAGCGGCAAAAGAAACCTTTTTTTTGTTGGACATAAATTATATTCAGTTGACAAAATTGTGCAATTATCTCAGTACATATTACATAATTGCTAGTTGTTTGCAGTTTTTTATGCTAACTAAACCAGACCTGAATTTGAATTCAGCCCAATGAAAAAACAATTATCCAGGCATGCTTTTTGTACTAGATGTTTATGTCATTTGATGTAATTTACGGTTGTGAAGCAGGAAGATTTTAACAGTGAACTCATTCAAATTTTGATGTCAATATATTCATTTTTAATACTAATGCTTGTTTGGCAAATGAAACTTATTAGCAATTACTAGCTCTGTTACTTCTGGGAAAATCTTGATTGCATAATTCATTTTTATTGCCAATTTGTTTGCTATCTTAGACATCTTCGGTGAAATTGATTAGAATTTTGAATATTCTGAAATAACTCAGTAAAGGAATATCAGAATCGTTATAAAAGATAATATTTGTAATATATAACAGAAATATATTCTTGGTGTATACAGCACTTGTTTATTTGAAGTACCCTTAAAAATCATTAATTGAAGATATTCAAAAATAATTTGGTTAGTTTTTTGCATAAATTTCACAGAGGATGGCACATCTTGGCCATCTCACTGTTGGTAGCCCTGTGTGAGTTTGCATGTTCAAATCTTATGATGGATAATTATCTGTAACAGGATTTCTGAACGCCTTATCAATGAGGATGATATATCTTGTCACGTTTACGTTTTTCTATAATCAAAGTCTATGCATGTAGTGTTTAATAACTTGATTATGTTGTCTTCGTCTTTTCTCTTATTTAATAGAGTATGATAGTTTCAATTCTATATTAATTTGCATGAATGGATGAAATAACTTAGAGTAAATATACTGAATAAATAACTTAGAGTCAATTCTCAAAATATGAAAATGGAAACACCTCTTCCAATACTCTTCGTCATTTGATTTGGTATCTATTATCATATAACAATGTTAAACATTGATGATAAGCAAACAAGGGCACAGTTCTTAGTATTCCATGTTAATCATAAATCCTTATATGCATAATAATAGTTACAATAGTTTCACCTTCAATAAACAATTGTTCAAACGAAAAATTTTCTTTTTCTTAATAAGATTCAATGTCATAAGAAGGCAGATAACCTATAGCTGGTGAATTCATGTATCCTGTCATTATTTTAAAAAGGGTATGCAAGTACCGTAAATCCATAAAGTTGTTGCAGGCTTGCAATGTTGAAATGCAAGTTGTAGCATATAAATAAAAAAGAGACTGACAAATATTTTGTTTTTGTGATTAGGAAGCATGTCTTTTCAACTTTCATACCACAGAACAAATACAAATAGTTTCGAACAAAGTTTTAAACAGACCTGGATAATTTGACATAGTCTGATCGTATTGTGGTAATATCATTTCTCTTAAACATAAATTGCGTTTTTGGCTTGTTATATGTTATCTTGTATTTCACACTGTGTTGCATTCGTGAATAATGAGAATGAGAAATATGAGGAAGTGATCACATTCAGGAAGTAAGACTACAGATTTTGAATTTTAACTTCCGGTGTTTTTCGTGGAACTGAAAGCAGCTTGATAGTGCGTTTCCTCAGTCTTTATTTTTTAGTTTTCATTTGAGGCTCAGACAGGCATATTGCCAACTTATGTAATTTCACAATTTTGAATACTTCAGAGCAGCGATAGCTAAGTCTGAAAAAAATACAGATCAGCTGACTTTTGGAAAAAGTATTTTTTAGTGGGAATTAATACCGGTAGGTGAATTATATGCAAAATAAATCAATAATATGGAGACTGATTTCAATGTAAAAATTGCCTATATAAGTCATATTTTTGGCTTTGCTTGTTTTTAGGCAGACAGTTATCATTATTTATTACGTCTTTAGTTCAAAACCTCGTAGCTTTGTTATGAATCCTATTGAAACTTCATTATTAAACTTCGGCATTTGCTGGCATGTAAGGCATACTGATAAATCCATATACCAGTAGCTCTGGGAATTAGCATGTCACTTGTGACTTTGATCAAAAATGTGTCTCATTCACGTTTGACTAGGTTCGTGTAACCTTGTCAAGCAATTTTTCCAAAAAAAAACTTCACACTGGTTTTTAGTTGGTTACACTCAGTAGCAGTTATATTCTAGAAATCTGACTGCAATTGTACTGTTTTGGTTTAATTGAATTGAGAAAATGAGGAAAACATATATTCTTGATTTCAAACACCTGTAACTTTTTATTGAAACACTTGAATTGAAAACAATTAGATACCAGCCCAGAGAGCACCCTTTTCATTTTATATATTTCAAATGAATTAGGGGCATGCAACATGATACCATATATTAATGTGAATTATGTGATTGCCTAAAATTTTGGTAATTCAAGTTATTAGTAATATCAGTCTGATGGTGATGTACCTCTACTAAATTGTGATGGATTTTATGTGCTATGGTTCATTCTCCTTGTCTGAGGCTTCATTCAGAGTGGCCATATGACAAATTAGTGAAGACACATCACACACATTCATATGGCAGTTTTGTGTGAAATCTATGTGAAGGAGCAAATGGTGTCAACTGTCCATCTATTAGATTGAAATTACACCAAATTATTTTTATTCGTAACAATTATTTATTGACATTTTTTTTAACTCTCATGTTATTTTGATTATTTAGGATCCAAGTTGTTATAGTACATTGGTTGGCCTTATCTTGAGGATTTTGAATGAAGAGAGAAGAATAATCGAGTGTGCACAGGTAATATAGTTATATTGTATTACTTTTTTGAGTTGTATAATACGAGTATTTAAAATCCAATTAAATCGTTTATTTTGAAGAAGTGAAGATTAAACAATTATATCAAATGTTCTAATTAGGCATTTCAAAAGCAGCGTTATGTAGTCCTGTTATATACCCTTAGGCATGTTGTGAATCAAAGTACTTTTTAAGTAAACACAAAAATCCAATGCCTGTTTTTATACTTTTTTGCACAGCCTATAAATCACTTTGGTAATTTGTTAGTTATTGTTAGTAAGAAGAGATTCTTGGTAATAATATTTATATAAGTTAATTCAAGTTTATACTAGATAATGCCGGTGGCTATATTAATTAAAGCGTCATTCTGATTTTTAATCAAAAGTGGTTTAAATAGAAAAAGACTTATTTTGCAACATTTTGATTCATTTCCAACCTCCATCACAATTTGAGTTATTTCACTTTGCAAGATTATGGAAATCTGCTTAAATTTTCAACATCATTTTTATCTTCAAAAACAGTGTTTTTTTTATATAGATTTGTATTAGAGGACTATTTTCTTCAAAATTGTATCTGGGATACTTATATTTCATACATTAGGAAGTGTAATTATATTCTCATTTTAACCATGTAAAAATGATGTTTTAACTTCGTTCGGGCAACTGCAAAAATTTTTTGTTGACCATTTAGGATCCGCGATATCAAAGTCAGAACAACATGTTGGACGTAAAGAAGCAAGAGGCTAATAATTACTTGGAACGAATTCAATTTCTTTCAGAGGTAATAAACAAAATAAGTGTCATTATTCTAGAATTTAATTCGGTAGAAACATCACTATCTTCAATATTTGAAATCAGTTATATAATGTTCTCTAATATTTTCATTCCCGGTACTTTAAAAATCCTATTATAAGCAATTGAGATCAGACAGAAATATTAAAATCTATCTTGTTAAAGCATAACTGACAAATTTTATTTTTTTTAGCATTGTAAAATTCGACACCTACTACACTTAAGATTTTAGTTTTTAGCTATCAATATGTTGAGTGAAATTCAGTGTAATTGCATTAATCTTATGAAAGCTGAATGTATTTACTGTAATTTCAATTTAGAATCTGACGAAGGATGAACGTATAAGTCAAAATGTCGCAATGGAAATCGAAAATTTGAACTCATGTGTTCAGGAACTTCAAGTTCTGGTTCAAGGACGATGTATGTTTAATAAATATTAATAAGCAGTGTTTTTTTCGAGCTAGTTATTGTTTTGTGCTGGGTGAGGATTTGGAAATTTTACCTTTGTAATGCAAACATAGTCAAACACAACAATCTAAGAGTATTTGAAATCCATGACATTCCGAGTACATATAGAATATCTAAAAAGTAATATGTGACAAAATTTTTGTGGAAATTGGATGAAGACATTAAATGGGAAGAATAATTAAACAGATACGGATGGTATTGCCTGTTTGGGTACTCCCATAGTACCAGGTTAAGGGCAGGCCATAATATTGTTATACCGATTTTTCTTATTTTAGTTCTATTACAAGTTCGGGGACTGTTTGTGTTAGCCAAGTTGATATACCCATAGGCTTACGTTCCTTTACACAACTTGATGTAAAGTGGGCGAATAATATTAGTTACCGTACCTTCATATTGGTACACATACGATACCTTTGGAGCCCCCCTATTTGTTGGAAAGTTGGAAACAATATTAAAAATTTTTGCTCTGTCATGTGTAATAATGAATATTGAGGTTGATTTGCATTTACATGGTGCTTGTTTGATAGGCCTATAGTCTATTATTACACCAATAAAAATAAAATTATGCTTTATGTCAATTTTTAGTGCGTTATCTTGACCAGTATAATCTTCGGGGAGCAACACCTGCTGAATTAAAAACTTTCGAAGGCATAAAACAAAAGCGTAACATGGCTTGGCAGAATGAAAAGGTAGGATTACTTCCACTCTTTACTTCCAATAGGAATTTCAGACCTATTCCAGACAGGTCTTTGAATTCTGAATTTGGTGTTTTTGTGCATATTGTAGTGGGAGTCGCACTTCTAATGATAATTGACATTGAAATATCTGACGAAACTATAAAAGCAAAGGAGACTTGCATAATTTATACTTGCATCAAATCTGATTCTTCTTTTGGTTAAATTTCCTTGACCCAAATATCGAATTTTTGTCATCCAGGAATCTGGGCAGAACTCATTTTGTGATGTCTCTGAGAATGGAGTTACAGTCAAGTCTATATTTTTCCCTCGACTTCGCGGCCCTAGTTTAAAGAATGTTCTAGAAAAGTCAGGTCTTCGGTCTCCAAAATGGAAATTTTCAATATCCTCTCTTTTACAGAGAATTCTTGCAAATACTCATTGGGAACTTTCAAATGATATCCAGCGCCTCATCACTCAGGTCTTGGATGAAGAAGTTCGAGAATGGCAACGAAACCAAGCTTGTATGAACAACGGGATGTCTCTAACACATTATTGTACTCTTCCCATGTTGCAGGATTGGTGTGTAAAACTTCTATAATTTTCTATGTCAAAATTTTATTGCAAAAGTTTCAATTATAACCATCTGCACATCCATTTTTTTAACATCAGTTGCAGCCCACCCACCTTCCACAAATTCTCTAGTTTACTTCAATACATTTTTGATTTTAGGTGCAAACGTCTGGCAAGGTTGGTCAGTGGCAACATCCAACAAATTACGAAGCTCCAATTTATTGAGGAACAAATTGGACCTGATAACAGAGCAAGTAATAATTCATCTGAAGCCTCCAGTCTACAATACATCAACGAACTTATAAATAGATATTCAATGATGTTGCATCAGCTTGTGGAAAAGTAAGAATCATTCTTCATATGGGGTGACCCTGTACACCGGATGATAGTTATAAAGGATATTCTTATATTATTTCTTTTAAAACATTAGACTTTGAAAAAGAAGTTGGTTCTCTAGTGTAAATTGGTTCTGTAATGGAATTGTGGTGTTTTGCCTTTATTTTGTGATCCAATGCAGTGATGCGACTACATAATCAGAGGGTACTGAGTTACATAGATAATATTGATATCGATGTGCAAGTAATGTTTGACATTTTACTGGGGGATATGTTCCCATATCTATTACAGTGCGGAGAAATGTCAATTAGGTGGGTTATTCACCCGGCAAATCACTGCATCTTTCAGTTATGCACAGATACAAATATGCTTGATTGTTATGAAATGATCATGTCATATCTTTCCTAATCGTATTTCTTTTTAATTAACATATCTTGCCTTGCTGGGTAGTTTATTTGTGAGCTTTTCTTCATTCAAATAAATGTGACTTTCATGTATTGGAAATAATACATTGGAATATAGGTTAATTTAACTATTTTTTCAATTTAATATGAATTGTCACATTTTTAGAGGTCTTGTTGTAGAAACACAGCCTCCTCAAGTTCTTATGAAAGATAAAAGATTTCAGAGCAAATTACGTCATCTGGTTTGTGATGGTCTGGATATTCATCAGGTATGTTGTTACTTTCTCAATAAGTTATGGAATATAAATTGAGATAATGTTTAAAATGTTTGGAACAATGAGATCGATTTCACAAGATTTTATTGCAAAATTTTTCTCTGTCATAGAATTTTGTGTCAAAAAATCTATATAAAAATATTTTGAAAATTTCTAAAGCACTCTCAAAATATGCATCATAAGCATTCAATGGTATAGTATATGATGAACTTTTTGTGTGGCCAAGGGTCCTGAAAACATCCCATCAATGGGCATATATTGTTAAAAAATATTATGTGGCAAGAAATTCAACAAAGCGCTGTTTAGAATAAGTGCTAGCACAGATATTTTGTTGACAGCAGCTTTTGAGATTTGACGAAACATTTCAGTAATATAATTTGTTTCTTTGAAGTTCCCTTCACTTTTATTTGTGTTTTACCAATTTCAGAAAAAATAAATGCCGTTGACAGGGAATTTAAATATGTAAACATTTAGGGGTTCTTGGATGTTGTCCCGTAACAGCTTATGATAATATAAATAATGATTTTATTTTGCAGCTAAATCGTGATCTTACTGAAATTTCACATATCTTATGAGGAAATTAGTCATTTCCCTTATCTGAGATATCATAAGCCATTATTTTACATAGTTGTCTTCATATAAATCTTAGTTCTCTGTACTAGTTAATATTTAACAGTATGGTTTCGTAATGTCATACCAGATTTATGAAAGCAATGATTTTATTTGCTTTGGGACAATGGAGTTCCCCGAATCATTTTATTTGACGAAGAAGTTGATTGAAAATTATAATATTTTTAAACAGAGTTTCCAAGAAATGATATAATCCAGTTTATTGGTTTATTCGTGAAGTTTGTCCTTTTTGCAATTGCAAATAAATTTGGAGTTTTATTATATTTGACATGGTACTTCATAATTTTAGAACTTATTGAAACACTTTAAGAGCATATTTACAGTCTGAGTAAATACTAATTTAAATTTTTATCAGGTACCTTTTGACGTTGAGGTGTGGTTGATCAGTGAAGAGCAAGCCAATCATGTCTTAAAAGAAGGAACACATTCTAAATTGTGAGTTCTAGTTTCTGAAATTGTGTATCCTGTGTTTGATAATTTAAATCTAGCTGTCGGACTATTCCACCACTGTTAAAATGCCAGCTGTCAAATTTTGTTCGTGATGAAAAACCATTATTCTTCAACTTTTGATGCCTTCATGGTAATTTCCAGGCGCTCTAGAAGTATGTGTATCAATATGGAGGTGATTAATTTTGGGCAGGGGGTATATTCACTTGGCTAATACAGATAGTCCCCGAACTCGTTATAGAACTAACATAAGGATAAAGATGTTCAAAAAGGATCTGAATATTAAAATACATACAGAATTTGTTATAAACGATATTGTAAATTCCTTAAATTTAAAATGTATTCGATATTCCATATTCGAAAATATTATTTAGAAAGTATTCAAAACAGGGATGTCCAAAACGAATCGAATATTCGAATACATTCAAAATTCATTATATTCGATATAGTAAATTTTTCAGGAATCATTCAGAATATTTTTATTTGAAAATTAAGAGATTTTGAGCCGTCAGTATATCAAGTATATCAAAGCTTACGATATCTCAATGGTGATAATGACTTTGATTCAAAACTGAGTATTTGGGGTATTACTTTCACACTAAATGCTTTAAAATTTCCTAGTGGCTGTCTGACTGATACTGTTTCTTACATGACAATGCTTCGAAATGTTATGTCTAAAATCCCAAACATTCGAAATAGGTGGGTCTGAATGCTCATGCCTGTAAATCCTGGTACTTTTCTTATTGGTGTATTTATAAGTTAAACTACTTTACAGCAAAGAGGGTGGAACTATTGTCAACAATAAATCAAGATCTGAATACTTACCAAACTCTGGAATAGTATCAGTCAGCATGAGAAACATGGTGAGTTTTGAACATTTTTAGACCTATTCTGACTTTTGATATGCATGACTTAGAAGTTCTAATATGAACAAAAGTAAAGGAGTTTATTCCGTGACTTTTATTCCCTCCATTTTAAGAGATTACGGTATTTAATTTGTTTCTGTTAATACAGATCTATCCACTGTGCTGTCTTATTCTGAATAGTTTTTTTTATTTGAAATGGTACATAGAAGAATATTAATATTATATAAAATATAAATCATGATTCCGCTGCAAATGGCGGCTTTCTTTGACAATACAACCATTTCGTTTTGGAGTATTTGAGAAACATATCCTGCATTACCACCATTAACCATGCCCAGAAAATCAATAATCTTTATTCTATGCTAATCGTTTAGTGTTTGAAAATGGGTCAGCGTGGTCCTCAACAGCAAGCTGGAATGGTTGCAGAAGTCAAAGTAGCCATGATATTCCGTGCTAACATAACTGTCAGGTGTTCACCTACACAAACCATAACTGTAAAAGCCCAGGTAAGTGAGTGTAACGTGTTTAGTTTTTATGACAGTAATCTTATGCTGTTGGAGTTAAATCTTTTGGGAAATTGCCATAAGAAAGCTGATATTCAGATGAAGACCACTCCTCCAGTCTAATGTTCTGGTAAAAAACCTAATTGTTTACATTGTGTAGTATCATTTGTTATCTAATACTAGGGATGGGAAAACTCAATCCCAATAAATTATAAAATAATATCTTTGGAAATGGAATATTGAATATATATGTGGAAATCCAAATATACTGAAAGAGTTTAAATTTGAATTGTAAAAAGAAACAGTGATTTGATAAGTTTTTTTTATGATTTTCAGAAATTAAATGAAGCCCTGGCAATGGCATACTGTGAAAGTTCAACTGGACTCTCTTAAATTATACTCTAAAATTTAAAAATATGCATGGTGTTATGCCCTCAGACCTCAGTGCATAAGCTTGTCCGATGCCGTGGGCGATAATTATGCGCGATAGGATTGCAGGAATTCTTGCTAGGGCAGTATGATTCAATAACCACAGGTCTTGCTTCACATTCGAGACTATATTTCTGAAACAATTAACTGGACAAGAGACTGTGGTTATCTTCAAGGAGCTATCTATTGCTTTTTGAGATAGATTCACTGTTTATTTATGATATCATGTAATGGAGTTAATTTCATTATATGTATATTATTTTATGCAAACAGACAATTTCTCTGCCTATTGTTGTGATATCACATGGAAAACAAGAAGCTGATGCCCAAGCTACTATTTTCTGGGATAATGCATTTGCAAGTGATGTGAGTAGAACTTGATTATCAATGGAGCCTTTGTATGACTTAATTGAGTATAATCATCAAACTCGAGAAATTTTTTTTTAAGTTATTGGCATAATGAAGTATATTTTATAAATTGGTGTATTTTCTCCATTAGTAAACTGTGGTCAAAAAGATGCGGCAACAATGAAAAATGTATAGAAAAAGTGTAAATGACAAAAAGTATAAGTGGATTATATTTTGTGAGTTTGTTGACAAAACATTATTCATAATCTTACAACTTTTTGTTTAGTATTAATAAAATAGGACCCATATAGAATACTATAATATTTCCGTAAAAAATATTTCCGCTGATTTGAAATGTGGTCAAAAATATGCGAAAATAATAAAAAAGGTATAGAAAAAGTGTAAATGACAAAAAGTATAAGTGGATTATATTTTGTGAGTTTGTTGACAAAACATTATTCAAAATCTTACAGCTTTTTGTTTAGTATGAATATAATGGCCGGCCCATAGTGAACTATAGAATACTATAATATTTCCATAAATATTATTTTCCCTGATTTGAATAATCAACACTTACCGTAATCTAAATTTCTTAGGAATACAATCATGATATCTTTGAACCCTTTTACATAAAACATATTTGATAATAGATTTATTATACAAATACTATTTTGCAGACCAGAAACTTGTTTGAAGTTGAAAAATCGGTGAGTTGGCAAAGAATGCTTGATGCACTGGATTGTAGATGGAAGAAAGAATGTAGAGATAGTAATGGAGCTGTTGGACTCACTGATACATCAAGGGAATATTTGACTATGAAACTATTCAGTAAGATTATAAGCAGGGATGGCCACTTCCGAATACTAAACTATTCCGAATACATTCTAAAATAATGTTTTCGAATCTGCAATTCCGAATACATTCTAAAATCGAAAATAACACATTTTTGTTTTAGTTTATTAAAACCCAGTAAAATAGGGAATAAGCTTCAATAGAAATACCAGAATAAAGCCACAAACCAACAGTATATGTACACAAAGTAATTGATAGTTTATAGCTATCAATAAAAATAATAGCAACTTGTGACACAGTCAGTTTGTTAAAATTGTACACTTAGTACAAATGACCATATGAGAAGATAGCCAAGGAGTTGTCTGACTTTCTATCATTGGTACCAGGTTATTACCATAATAGTCAAGTCGGAATCGGAAACTCCCGATGCCGCCTGTAACAGCCACCGCGATTCCGCGCTCGTTCCGTCTTTTCAGCGTATAATGATCATTTTGTCACGTAAAATATTCAATCCATGACAACTACGAGATTCTAAAATATCTTTATATATTAGTTTTGTGAGTCCAACGTCACTAGCGTTTGCTTCTTCTTACGTCAAAATGAAAACATTACTATTCGGTCGACAGCGATCTGTGGCCTAAAAGTATGAGAAAAACTGCCTGATTTATTTAATTTTAATACATATTTTTGCAATCTCACCAACTTGTTATCGCCGTTAAAAAATATCTCAATAACTGATATCAAATCCTGTAGAGTACCACTTCATTTCATACAATGAATATACATATAAAGTTTAGCAGTAAATAAAAAATACATATCGCTGCGATTACTCCACCTGTTAAAAGAGCCGACTTTTACAACGAATAATATAACAAGGAATATATATTTTTCTGCTGTTGAAAGTGATTGATTCGTGACCGATACGGGCATATTTAAAATGTCTTGCTTTATTAATTTAATTGTTTTCAATTTAACTTGCGGTCGCGTCGACAAAATAAAATTCTCATCACTCTAATATACCATGGCAATCCGCGGACATGGAAATAAAAATGTGTGGTGAACTGCCCTATTATATACTGTTTTGATCCAAATTTTGCGAATTCGGCAAATTTGAGATGTATAACACTGACTCCGCTCAATTGAAATGCCGCCACTCCGATTATTTTTAAGATAAAACCTTTCGAAAAATCCATAAATCTGCCATAAAAACTCAGGTGTAAAATTTATTTCAGCACAATAAAAATTGATTGAATATTCTTTAGATTAATTATAGTATATACATTCTCACAACCCGGTAAAAGTCGCGTTTCAAATCTTGTATAATGTTAACACAAAAATTTTCGACGGCAATTTAATTAAAGTAATGGATAATCAGGCAAATCCCGCCATCAATTAGTGACGATATGTTTCTGAACGCGGACGGAACATAATGTGAAAATTTTGCGATTTTCATTGCCTAGAAAAGCGTTTTTTAAACTGTCGCGGGCTTCAATAAAACATATTTTGTTTACGGTTTTATTTTCAGTATTTTAAATTGCCGCTTTTCAATCAAAAAATTCGGGTTTTCTTTTGAAACTCGCCGCCGATGAACGTATTCACCGGATTCACAGTTCTGTGCGAGTACAAAAATAAAATAATCGTTATCGTGGAACAAATTTGTGGAAAATTTGCGTTTTAGAGAAAATAACACAAATGTAAAGGCGTTTACGGCCTAAATAATATGTCCGCTGATGAAGCAATCACGCGCAAGTTTCTATCGATAATGTTTTCATTCAACGGAAACGTCTTGAAAGCGGCGTCGAAAATGTGTGATGTCACACGAATATTCGATATTTTTATAAACGCTAATTCCGATATTCGAATGACGAGATATTCGAATACTTTATTCTAATTGGCCATCCCTGATTATAAGAAGCATTTGTCGTATTCTTATTCATGAGTTTCGAGTAAATCGACCGGTCAGGCCTTGAAATAAAATATTCTTCTTCTGATAAACTCTCCACATTATTATGCTCGAACTCCTGAAGTATGCGCACCAAGATGTCGCATAACCCGAACCATAACCTGGTACACAACCTGAGTTCAGGTTGTGCGCCATCTTGGTGCGCATACTTCAGGAGGTCCCACTTTTATTCATGGCATATTGATTTTGCTTTTTCCTTAAATATGACTTTCTTTCAACCAGTGATGGTCCTATACGGATAATTTACTATTTCGCACTCTGAAATAATCTTGAATATATAGCCCACTAAATTAGTTGATGATGAACAATAAAAAAGTTGACATATTCATGAAGAATGATTCTATATGAAGATGAAAATATTCTACATTTTTCTTCACAGTACAGAAAGTTAACAAAATTAGATATGTTCTAAACGCCAACTGTTAATTGAGCAGAATCATGTTTTTTCAAAAGAAAATTTTCTAAATTCTTCCAATATTCAGTATTTATTCAAATATTCAATTCATTCTGGACATCCCTACTTTCAATAAAATTTTGAAATTATTGTTTTGCAGAGCAAAGGTGCATCACACCAGCAATGCAAATCCTCTGGGATAAATTTAATCATGATAAAATGGTGATGGGAGGTGGAGCAGAACCAAAAAAAGAATTATTCACTTTCTGGAGTTGGTTTTTCAAGGCAATGGAGTTGTGCAGTTCTTCTTATGTGAGAAAATATTGGAACTTGGGGTGAGATAGAGACACAATTTCAAAAACAGTTGATGTGTATTTGTTATTTGGCAAGGTGACATGTGAATACTCTTTGCAAGTTTTGAGTGCCGTCCAAAGAGTAGATAAGCAGCTAGAATGAGAGTGTTATCAAACTATCAAACAAATTGGCGAAAAAAAATCCACTTCGAAGAATCAGATGGAATGCAAATATGATTCCAGTGTCGACTGTATCTGAATTATATTTTTCCTTATTCTTGGTAGTGAATACTGTGAAATCGAAGTGTGGGATTCAATTGTGTACTTGGGCAGTGCGATGGCCAAGCAGTTGAAGCCGTAGACCGAACTGTATTGGCATCCCAGTTTACTCATCTCAGTTCAAATCCCATGGCCCCCACACTTCTAGGTTGTAATAAGTTAGGTAGGCAATGCTATAACGGAAAGATTCAGAACCTTCCAAATAACCTGGTAGCTCTTTGCATATCGCTAGTGGAGTGGAAGGTGTAAATGAGCACCATATAAATTTATGCCATTATATTTTCCACTAATGCTTGGGTTATTTCAGAATATCAACATTTGGAAACTTTGCATTTCAAACCCTTTTTTTTCTAACTTTGATCAATCAATTTTAACACTGATGGCATTTTTGAAGGGTTTTGTGACAATCCCCAAGCTCATTATTTATTTCATTTTTTTCAGTCTTATTCACGGCTTCTTGAGCAAACAAGCTTGCAACAAAATGCTTCTCGAATCTAAACAACCTGGAGTATTTCTCTTTAGATTCAGTGAAACTAAATTTGGAGCTTTATCCATTTCATGTACCAGAATTATCAATGGTAATTGCTTTTATATATTAAAATATGATGCCATTTAAGGTATATATTAGAGGTAAGATCGGGCCCAAAAATTCCAGCCTGACCCGACCGAGGCTTGTGGGTATTAAACCCGACCGGACCCGAGCCCGAAACAAACCCAAAATTTCATATTTTATTTAGAAGTTCTTTGAATTGTCATTGCAAGAGCTTAGTACAGTATGTGTCGTGTTGATGAGACAACTTCTGTTCTTTGCAGACTATGGTCTCTCGTGGCCAAAACACGCCCGAAACGCCTCATTTAAGAAAAAAAGGCAGTGAAAGAGAGGCCCGTCCCGAACGTAATGATTGACTCGGCCCCTGGCTACAGATCTTAGTTCTAGTATATATGGATGATTTTTCTGATTGGAACTGTGGTTGTGGATCCCTCTATCTGTCATTTTTACGACTGAATTAATTATTTGAACTTCCAATTAAGTTACAGTTTGTATTGTTAAATTTGAGTAATAATCTCATATCTGACGTGAATTGTACATATAGATTGTTGTACTAAATAGTTGTCGTTGTTGTTGTCTTTTAGCTAATAGGCCAATAAGTTTCAAATATTCTGAACTCTGAAATAGATGTAGTCAGCGAAAGGCTATTACTTTTATTTCTTTTTCCTATGGGTCTAATATTTAGTCCAAACTTCTGTTATTTTATTTCAGTTCGTGAGAACACTTTATTATTCCTTCACGGCTTGCAGGTCAATCTTTTTTAAACTTAGTGAACAGCTAAGGCCTACTTGTATTGATGCATTGAGTTTGCATCCACGTTGCTCTCTTGTTTTTATTAGGTCAACTCCAGGTATGCCATTTGCAACCAGATATAGCAAAAGACTTTAAAGTGCGAAGCTTGCCAGACATGCTTTGTGATTTGGATGACTTGCACACTTTATATCCTGACAAATTGAAGGATGAAGTTTTTGGTCCATATTACTCAAATGCAGGTAAGGATTAGTATATATGCCCAGGCGCGCAGCCAGGATTTTCAAGAGGGGGGGGGGGGTTCATAATCATAAATTCCCATTACGGTCTGTAACGGTCTTCGCATTACGCGCTTGTTAACGGGACGTCTTTTCAGCGTATAATGATTATTCTTGTCGCATGAAATATTCAATCTCTGACAACTGCAAAATTCTAAAATGTCTTTATATATTAGTTTAATTGTGTCCAACGTAACTCGCGGTTGCTTCTTCTTACGTCAAAATTAGAACATTAGTTCTCTGAAATGCCCCGGCGATCGGTGAACATAAAAATATAAGATAAACGGTGTATTTAATTTTAATACGTATTTTTGGAATCTTGCCTTGTTATCGCTGTTAGAAAAATATCAATAACTGATATAAAATCCCGAAAAGTACAATTTTATTTCGTACAATGAAAATGCATATGAAATATATCGTTAAATCAAAAATACATATTCATCGCCGCGATTACGCCACTTGTTAAAAGAGCCGTCGTTCACAACGAAAAATGATTTTTCTGTTGTGCAAAGTAATCAATTCGTGACCGATAAGGGCATCTTTAAAATGTCTTGCTTTATTAATTTAATTGTCTTCAATTTAACCAGCGTTTGCGTCGACAAAACAAAACAATTTTTTACAATTCACAACTTTAAAATACCTTGGCCATTTGCCGACATAAAAATAAAAATTTGTGGTAACTGCCCGTCGCCTATCATATATTGTTTTGATCGGTATTTTTTCTATTTTGCAAATTCGACAAATTTGAGATGTGCTTGTAACATTGACTCCATTCAATCGCAATGCTGACACTCCGATTATTTTTAAAGATAAAACCTGAAAAATCCGTAAATCTGCTGTAAATTCTCATGGACTAAAATTTATTTCAGTACAATAAAAATTGATGGATATACTTCGGATTAATTTTCTTATAATATATATCATCACAAACCGGGAAAAAATCGCGTTTTCAACCTTGTTTAATGATAACACGAAAATTTTCTACGACAAAGTAATGGATAAAAGGCAAATCCCACCCACAATTAACCGTGTTTCGATTTTAGTGACTGTATTTTCCTAAACGGCGACCAAACATAATGTGTGCCGTAGGCACACAAAATTTTGGGATTTTGCGACTAGAAAAGCGTTTTTAGACTGTCGCAGGACTCACAAAACTTATATTGTTTACGGTTTTATTCTCAGTATTTTATAATGCCGCTTTTCAATCAAATTTAGATCGCAGTTTTACTCCTTCTTTTGTCTTTAGAACCTCGCCACCGATGAACGTATAATCATGTTTATCGTGGCACAAATTTATGATTTAGAAAGAATAAAAACCGACGTAAGGGCGTTTACGGCCTAAATAACACGCTGATGAAAACATGGGCGATTTTAGCAGAAGGCAATTGCACGCTTTTTCAGTTTTCACATTTCCGTGCGGGTACAAAAATAAAATAATTATCATTGTTCCCGCGGCACAAATTTGTGATTTAAAGAAAATAAACACCAATGTAAAGGGCGTTCTCGGCAAAAATAACATGCCGCATTGATGAAAACGAACGGCGATTTTAGCAGAAGGCAATTGCACGTGTTATCGGCAACTTTTTCACTTTTCAGAAAATTCAAAAGGGGGGGGGGTTGTTGGACCTCGAAACCCCCGGCTGCGCCACTGTATATGCCTCTATATCAGGGGTGTCAAACTCGTTGGTTCTCGAGGGCCGCATTGCATTTTGGGAGTTGTGCAGAGGGCCGCAAACAGTTTTCGATGTATTATGATAATGTATACTTGGAGCATATTTTTAGATAGGTGTAGTTTGTGACAAATATTGTGATTCAATCAAACAGCCGAATGCAATTTACTGTAGTCATTACAAAAAATCATAAATATTTCTATGTTCAACTATCCAAAACATTTTTGAACAAAGTTTTGATAGGAAAAAAATAATACATATACTAAAAATGACTAAATATATAGACCTAAAATTAGCAAAAATACTACAGAATGAACTCAATGTTTTTTTATTGCATATGTCCTGACGTTTGGCATCTTTTTTGTGCCACCAGCCTACTAATATCAGGATGAAATGATTTTACAGTACCAACTCTGATTCACGAAGTCACATGATCATCGGTTAATCTGGATCGTTCCGAATGTTTGATTACTTTCAGTAATGCAAAAATATTACGTTTATCACTTCATGTATAGATCTGTAAACAAACAAATTTCGGACTTTTCGGACCAGACATTTCCTACCATTACGGGGCATAGGACCTCTTGAGTTATGATTGATATTGGTTTTTAGTAACTAGGTAGTTGTATAATAATATTAATATACAAACACACGAAAATTTTTTGTTCGAAGTTGATCTTTAAATCTGTCATATTGACTGCTGATCTTATTCTGAGAATGTCTACTTATATTGTATTCTTTCATTGTATTGATGAAAATATGACACATTGAACAATGCTCATCAGAATTTGAGAAATGCAGAAATATTGCAACTCCCAGTTTTCTTCAAAAATACTGCCTTTTTCATATAGTTTGCGTTTCATTTAATCCCTGAAGTGTTTTTCAAGTACTCTTTTGCTAGCCATAATTGGATCATATTCAAAATTTTCCAAAACTACTTTCAGTAATGCCAATACTAAGGGAACTTGGATATTGTGTATTGAACTGCAGGTCCTTTCTCCTTGTTTACTTTCTACTTCGGATCCGTATGTGGTACTCACCACAAGGATGCTTGAACGAGATAGTATTAAAGTGATAAGTAAAAATAACATGATCTCTTTCAACGAAATAGTAAGTATATTTGTGAGCTTTCGTTAGATCATGGTCTAACTTCTTCAAACAATACAAGATATAACTGTAAATATAAAGATCACAAGAATTTAATTTATTTTAAAATTAAGTTTTCTATAACTGATTTAGATGCTATGGTAATTTAATCCATATCAACTCCGAACTGTCGGTCTAACTGATGTGGTTGGGTTGAAGTTCGTCTATTTGTGTGGTTTCCTTTGTTTGCTTTTGAACCATGTTTGTTTGTATTGTTTCTGTTTTTTTGATAGTACTGTTTGTCTTTTGGTTTTGTATTTGCGTTGAAGTCCCTCTCCGTTTGAGTTTTAATCTTTTCTATTGATTCCATGTGGTTGCCGAGTCTTCATTTTGTTAATCCAGAAATGCTCTTTGTTTTTCCTGTAAAGTTCGTCGTGGGTTCGTCAACCCAACCACATCAGTTAGACCGACAGTTCGGAGTTGATATGGATTAAATTACCATAGCATCTAAATCAGTTATAGAAAACTTAATTTTAAAATTATTGTATTGTATTGTTTGAAGAAGTTAGACCATGATCTAACGAAAGCTCACAAATATACTTACTATTTCGTTGAAAGAGATCATGTTATTTTTACTTATTACTTTCAGTAAATTGTCGTTTCTGTGTGAATATTCAATTCAAAAATGTATAACATTTATATAAAAAAAAAACTTGCAAAATTATTACAAATATTGATGGGCATTCGAGGGCCGCATATGAAGTTCTCTTGGGCCGCATGCGGCCCGCGAGTTTGACACCCCTGCTCTATATCATCAGTATTTTCCAACTTTTGAAGCACAATTTTTCAACTATTGTATGATTTCTCAAATATCAGTCATAGAATTTTTTTTTTAATATAGTGAATGGGTGATATTGAAATTTGAAACAGGAATAGACAGCTGGGCCAAACTCATAAATAACATTGAAATTAACTTCATTTAGATATCTTAATTATTCTTTAAAAAATGTTTCCATCCTTCTTTTGTGTTTTTGCAACAATGCCACCAACAAGGACACTGCAACAAATGATTCAACTTTGTCGGATGAATATTCATGCATATTTAATTAATACCATTTTATATCTGTTTCAGTACCGCCTCCCACTTTTAGTGAAGATGGATATATCCCTAAAGAATTTGTTGTTGTTGTTAAAAATCCGCGAACTGGTCATGGCAGTCGATCTTTTGATCATTCATCTTCTATAGCTTCTCCTGATGTGTCTTCTTGCCTGACAGGTATTTATTATTATCTATTTCAAACTTTTATTATGGCTAAGTGTTGCCCCCAAGGTGCTCTCGATGTATTCGTACCAAGATGGTGCACAACCTGAACATACCATGTGTACCAGGTTAGGGTTGTTCAGGTTGTGCGTCATCTTGGTACGAATACTTCCGGAGCGCCGAACCCAATTATGTTGCTGAGATAGCTTTTTTGATCTGAACAGATCCAAACCCTATGGTATTATAAAATATGTGATAATGATACTGTTTCATATTGCTAATGTCTTTTTAAAGAGAGAACAGCCATCCCCTGATTATTCATTACAGCAGGGCTTTTCAAACTGGGGGTCCGGACCCCACAAATGTGTAGGCTATGGGGGGAATCTTTTTGTATCATGTTTTCATGCCTTTCACTACCAGCAAGGCTCTGGAATAGCCAGAATCTTTCTGGTTCGCCATTGCGTACTCTGGGTGAGGCAGTGAACATGCGGTTTAAACAAGATATTTTGAATCTGCAATAGGATAGGATCTTCATATTTATCCCAGTGAGAAGAAAGAAAGCTGATAAGTCTACTTAATCATATGGAAAACGAACCATGACCTTTTGTCAGGTTACCTTTCTATGTCGGGTATGGGTTTAGTTAGCCAGGTATTTGTTTCAGATGCATGGACTTGATGGTGGAGGAAGCCGTAATCGACTAGCGGACCCCCACAGCATTCGAACCTGTACGCCCTGTAGGGTAATCAGAGATACGGTGGCGCGCTTAGAACATTGTGCCACACCGCCAAACCCTTTCAGCCAACATGGTTAGGTCCGACATCTCATGTTGAACAGACGAAGTTTTGAAAGTATTTGATTTCTATCTTACAAATTTTTATTTTGAAAGACAAAGATGAAGGAATGGAGGATGACAGCAGTTAATTTTGTGAAGTGAATAACTTCGATATACAGTATCATTCACTGAAGATGCTATTAAAATGAAAACTGTTTCTGTACAAAAAAGACTGCTTTTCAGCTTAATTAAGAACCCTTTTTAAGCTTGAATTACAAAAAGCCTTTTTTTGATTTTGAATTTTTTCTGAATTTTATTTTGTGTGACCCGCAGTGCATTTTGGCAATCTTACTTTTATTTTTGTCAAAAAAGTTTCTATCCTTGCACTTGCGGTATTGATTAAAATGTTAAAAACTTTTAATTATGTATCCTGTAATAGCTGCTTCTTTACTGATTTTTTGTAAAAATAATCTAATGTATATTTTTGGGCACAGGGAAAAAGTTGTTGCAAAGGACTAGGTTGTATTTATAGTGAGGTATTCTAGAATTTATATCAATATTGCGTATTTTTCCCAATAATGGTAGTCCGTGCTCAAAAGGTATACTATACTAAAGTACATCAGTATTTCCCTGTATTAAAGCTTGTTTGTATCATAAAATTCAGAGGAAATCTCTATTTCTGTGTTTGTATCTATCTCACTTATAATATGAGGTTTGGGTTCCCAGAATCATTCTAGTATATTAAAATTTTTTCTATTAAGCTCTTTGCAATGAGTCTTGTCTTAATTTTGCTTTATATATTTGTATAATTTTTAAATCGCTAAAAATCCATTCACGTAATAATTTTTGCATTTTTCCTGTTATGTATATATTTCAATCATGAATTACTACGGGAAGTTTCTTAGTGCTGAACACATTTTATCTAGTCACGTCCATTACCAGTACCTATCTATGAGTTTTATCTTTTTTTTGCCTATGTTAGTCCAACAGATTACAAATGCTTTCATTAGATAGATTTGCCACAGTTCTATAATATTATGCGATCTGCTCCCATCTGAGTTCCTTAGATGATGGGAAACTGCTTATAGTTGATATCTAAGTTTGCTGTCAAATTTATAAACCTCTTTGATACATACGTATTGAATGTTATGTATTGCAGACTAAAAGTTTCCTCTTTATTAACAAACTGAAACGATCCAGGGGAGTTATCTGCTGTAGTTTGCTAGTTATAATAAACACTTCAAGGGGAGGGATTTGGTAAAAGAATTTCATCATCACTCACTTGGCTATACTTGAATAATTGATTTCGTTAATTTCTCTTTCTCTATGTTCCACATGTAAATCTCCATATGAGTTTCGTTTCTGCTCAGTATTGTGTGCTGAGATTGGTGTGAATAAACTTGTACTTTTAACCTGTTGTTTGTTCACTCTAGTACAGGGTCGTCCAACCTTTTTTGCCGAAGGGCCACATGTAATTTACTAATAATTGCGCGGGCCACTTAACATGGTAGTTATGTTCTAGTTTTGCTACAGGCTAATGAAAAAACAAACAATACCCTCGCGCGGAACGTTCGGAAATTATTAGAACAATAAAACTGTTGTTTCCCAAACATTGATATGGCGCCATCAATCTTATTCCCGAAAGTTTCGCCAAGACGCTTGATCATTTTTATAACAGCTCCTAACAAACCAACGCCTCCAGCCGTACCATGAACAGGGAAAATGGCTGCGAGCTCTTCGGTAATTTCAAATCATTCTGTCATTATAACTACCCGAAAGAAGATCGCCAAAGTGCTTTCATCAAGCGCTTTTGCAATTAAAAATTTCTGCTCCTCAACACAACGAGTTATGGTCAGGCTATTTTTGCCCTTTTTATTTCCGGACGTAAAACACTGTCAACCCGAACAATACATAATATCAGTGAATTCTCAATCTGAGAATCCGATAACATCATATAGAGTAGTAAAAAACCAAGTGTGTAAGCGACTATGGCATCTTTATGTATCGATATCTCCTCCCAGTTAGTTTCGAAATAAAATGGCATTCATGGCTCGTTTGCAAGGGCTGGCAGAGCGTATTTCAGGAAAATGAAGAAATCGTTTGTATCACATCTGTATATTACATTTCACTCAATTCTGAAAAATACAGCGCGGGCCACTCGAAATGCTTAAGCGGGGGCCACTGGTTGGACAACCCTGCTCTATCTAGTATGTTAATTTTTGAAATTGGGTCTCTGCATATTTTTTAGCAACAGTTTTATAAAATCATTTACAGGGCCCCAAGAATGACAACAGCATCTTATTTTAAGAATTTTCCAGAAATTATTCTTTCTTTCAAGACTAGCCAGCATTCATTGGAAGCTAGAGCAAAGCAATTCACTACTTTTTATTTACATCAGAGATAAGACGAGCAATGAATTACATTTACACTGACACACAAAAAAATAATAGGTGTTTCCAAGTATGCATTACACAATAACATTGAAGAGGACCTTCCAGGCTTCCCAAGGTAATCGACATCTCCATTCCTATACATCACTCAAGAGTTAACTGCTTGAAATTAATTGCTGGTTTCTGCATTTGAAACCACCACTAGCTTATCATTTGAACAGAGTCTCACTGAAAAATATATTGCCAAACGGGCTTACATTTGCAATTACAATCATGCTAATACAATAGATAATACAAACGACATGAAAAGTGAATAATTAAGATTGAAAGCAGAACAACCATTTCATTAAAAACTAGCAAATGCTAAAACGATAATTGCTATAGCGGAACATTTAAAAAGTATGAAATAGTAAAGAAAACATGATTGAAAAGCAGTGAAACATAATGCAAGAGGTTATAAGAAAAGTCCAGCAGTTGGAACATATAGGCTACTATCCAGTTTTCTAACACACAATTCACAAATCCAACTAAATGAATTTTTTAATGTGATTTTCAATTATGCTTTTGAGGACCCACTTCAATAATAAGCCCGCATATTATGACCAATTTTGTTGTTCGTCAAGAGTGGAAAAATTAGTCCCAGGTTTTAATATTGTGGTATTTATGATGTAGGCCTAATAATGTAAGAAAAGTAATAACAAAATAGCTAAATTTCAAAACAATTTAAAGATGTTTATATTAAAATTGAAATATTAAGATTGTTAGTGATCCCAGCTTAGATTGGTTTGAACTTTGCATGCTGATACCAGTGCAACGGGTTCAACTTCACATTCAAGAACTAGAAGGTCTCAGCTTTATATACAAGATGTGATAATACAGTTCATACCACATGCAAAATGTGCACAGACAGTTTTATTTATGCACTACATCATGAAAGTAAACTACCAGCTACACATTCATAAAAATCTCTACACAACGTCTCATATTCTTTTTCATGGCAAAATCAACTTTTTTCGACAAATTCCAAGGGGCCGAACTGTGTGTTCAACTATCCAACAACTTAATGCGCAAGCAGTAATTCCATAAGGTCTTGTACCAATTGCAGATAAAACCTCCCATTCACTCTCATCAGTGTCATAATATTCTATAGTACCATGGCCACCAATGGCATAAATTTCTCCTTCAAGAACACAAGAAGCAAAATTGCTTCGTTGCAATTTCATTACTGGTATATTTGTCCACTGCTGAAGGCCGATGTGATATCGCTCACACGAACTCAGTATCATTTCTTCACAGCGACCTCCCATCACATATATGAAAGGATTTATAAATTCTGCCGAAGCATTACTTCTTGCAAAGCGCATTTGTTCACATGACATCCATGACATATTTTCAGGTGTGTATCTTTTCATTTGATTTGTATATGGAAAGCCACCAATGGCATAAATATGATCCCTAGTTGCTGTGATACAGAAACCAGATCGGAAGTTGTCTGGCTGAACCAATTCTGTCCATTCATCTGCCAAGGTGTCATAGTCTGCAAGAGTCGCACAACTAACCACATATATGCGATTTTTGAAAGCAATGACTTTGGTGCTTCTGTCATGTTTAAAGTCAATATCTGCCATCCTTTTCCAAGTGGCATCATTTTGTAATTGATACAACATTTTATTGTGTATTACATATATAACATCCCCAACATTGACTACAAAGCTAAAACCATTGTTAGTCACTTGGGGCACATCTGCTAACTTATGCCACTCATTATCTCTGATGTTGAACCCTTGAAGCTCTCTCTGCCTTCGATCCAAAATGACAATAAGTTCAGCAGATTCTATCTTGGGTTTAGGTTTTCCAGTTTTACCATAGGAATTTTCAAAAACGTTATTTTCTGTCAACTTGTTAACCTTTTCACATAAAACATCCATTAAAATATCTTTGCATTCATGAGATTCTTGGACTAAAGGTTCAGTGCGAACATTGCTTTTTATATAAATCAAAGGGAACCATTCAAAATTAATGCATTTGAACAACTCCGGAAAAACATTTTTCTTGTTTTCTGGGTCTTGTTTAACCCACTTAACAGCAGCCCGCCACTTGGTGATATCTGTGTGAACTTGATGCCAATGTGAAGATCTGACAACTTGGAACAAATGCAGAACATCATCCCTGCCCATACTTTCAAACTTGTCTTCACTTGCAATTTGCTCAAAATTTTGTAGCATGAATTCATCGATGATCAGCATTATTTTAGCATCTTCAATCTTGAATTTTGTTGCAATTTCTTTGAGCAGAAAACAATTTTGTGCATTGATATACATTTGCAACTCATTAGGATTTGAAAACAAATACACAACAACAAGATGCTTGCAATCATCAGATTCTTGTACTAAGGGATCAATCCATACAGTTGAAAGCAAAAATGAATACACAAATTTTTCAAAGTTTATCATCTTAACAAGTTCAAAGAAATATTGTTTTCGATCCTCTTCATGCTTTATCCAGCAGGATAAAGCTTTCCATCGCACTTCATTATCAATCTCACTTTGGTTTTTGGTTATATCAATCAGATCTGATTTTTCAAGCTGTAAAAAACCCTCAGAACCTAGAAGTTTCTCTAAATTCTTCAATAAAAATGTATCAACAATTTTTTTGGTGTGTTCACTGTTGTACATGAGAGCGAGACGTTTAATGAGGAAACAATTATCTTCATTTAAACTTTTATATAAAACTTCAAAGCAATTTTCAGTTAAAAGAGGAAGTTGCATCAAAGCAGCAGTGTGTAAAACATGTTGTGCATTATTAAGAGTTATATTAGCGTCACCTCTATACATGAACTCTACACATTGCTTAACTCCTTCTTCATCAACCTTTTTCATATCAACATAACCATCTGCAAGTTCTTTAGTGCAGTGAGAGAACATCGCTTTAAAATAGTCAGAGCAGGCAGCAAGGATGTTGCGATGAACATGAAAGGACTCCGATCCAACTTTGATGATAAAATTACAATCAAAACCTTCCTCTCGTAGCTTCTGCAGCGAGTCCAGGACCTTAACTGCGTGGTCTACTTTCCGTTTAGACGCCATTAACTAACAAGTAGCCTATAGTCTAAAAACTACATCAGTATATAAGCTAATACAGTAATAGGTTAACACAAGTTCTTCAATTATTAAATTTGATCTTGCATAGTACTGTAGTGTACGGTATAGTACTAGCCACTAGCAGACTAGTGGATGTGGCCTGGATTAAGGTTAGGTTACCTCTGATAAATCAAAAAAGTGCCTGAAATCACGAGTGCCTAGTTTTAGTAAGACGGATCCAGTTTGGTTTTATCATTTTAATCGCATTCCCCCGGTTAAAAAAAAAACTAGTCCTACCGCCGCGAGAACCGGGAAAGGTTGGTTGGTACTGGTACCGTACCGGTACCGCAGGGCTGCCGCTTTTGCCTGACTAAAAACTACAGGGGTGGTAGAACAAAAGTCGGGTGTCAAAATAGGGCTGACGAAATGCGGTCGTTGTGTGTAAAATTGGGGGTGACAAAATACGGTCGGTGCGTGTCAGATTGGGGGTGACGAAATACGGTCGTTCCGTGGTGTCAGGCAGGGGCGGACACTTCCCATAATTTTTTTTGGGGGGGCGAACTTGGATCGCCTACCGAAAAACACCGCGCCGTGTATCGTCACGTAACAATAACCTGTCGATGTCATTCTCTAAGTATTAGAATGTCATTTTGCTACTCATATATCGAGTACCCAGGTTGCTTCGATTGTACACGGAATTTGCTCGTCACTGAACCAATTTCTTGAATTCCGCGAGAATTAGCTCACGGCTCTTGCTAACAAACAGAAACTACAAATTTGAGGAGTCGTATTAGGTTATTGTTTCAATTCCTAGTTCTGCATAAAGCGCACTAACGCCGTTTCGTAAAATTAGAAATGCAAAACAAGGTAACAAGCTATTGTGCGAATTTTTTCCTAAATTTGACCAAGGAAGTATCATTTGAATAGTAAAATTGCCATTATTGCCAATTTATTAAATCATTATTTGAACTCGAAATAACATTCAGGATTCACGCAATGACTTTGCAGGGTTTTTATTTATAATTTAATACGAAAATAAACAGGCACAAGTTCAGGCGCACAGCCGGGATTTAGAAAAAAAAAGGGGGGGGGGGACCAAAGCCGGTCACCGCGATCATGCGCTCGTTAAAAGAGCCGCCTTTTTAGGCATATAATGATTTTTCTGTCGCGTAAAATATTCAATCCATGACAGCCACGAGATTTTTGTGTGCAACGTTACTCGCGGTTGCGCCTTCTTATGTCAAAATAAAAATATTACTAAACTAAAATACCACGGCGATATGTTGACATAAAAATATGCAATCTTGCAATATGCAATTTGCAATCTTCCGAACTCGTTAGCGCCGTTACAAAAAATCTCGATTTCTGATATAAAATCCCGTATAATACAATTTCACTTCATACAGTGAAAATAATTATAAAGTATACTAGTAAATCAAAAATACAAATTCACGGCCTCGAAGAGCCAACTTTTTCAACGAAAAATGATTTTTCACTTGTGCAAAGTAATCAATCAAAGACCGACAGGGGCATATTTAAAATGTCTTGATTTATTAATTTAATTGTTTTCAATTTAAATTGCGGTTGCGTCGACAAAACAAGAGCCACTCTAAAACACCACGGAAATCCGCGGACATAAAAATGTGTGGTAAACTGCCCGTTTATATATTGTTTTGATCCGTATTTTTGCTATTTTGCGAATTCGATAAATTTGAGATGTACTTGTAACACTGGCTCCGCTCAATCGCAATGTTGTCACTCCGATTATTTTTAAAGATAAAACCTTTCGAAAAATCCGTAAATTTTCTGTCAATTCTCACGTAGTAAAATTTATTTCAGTACAATAAAAATTGATCGAATATACTTCAATTATCTTATATATCATCACAAACCGGGAAAAAGTCGCGTTCTCAGCCTTGTTTAATGTTAACACAAAAATTTTCGACGTCAATTTAAAAGTAATGGATAAAAAGGCAAATCCGCTCACAATTCACGGTGTTTCGATTTTAGTGACTAAATGTTTTTAAAGGCCAAGAAAACATAATTTGTGCCGTAGCCCGTAGGCACACGAAATTCTGCGATTTTCGATGCCTAGAAAAGCGTTTTTAGACTGTCGCGGGCCTCAACAAAACTTATATTGTTTACAGTTTTATTTTTAGTATTTTATATTGCCGCTTTTCAATCAAAAAATATAGGTCTCTGATTTTACTCCTTCATTTGTCTTTAGAATCTCACCGCCGATGAACTTCTCGCCGGGTTCATAAGTCCGTGCTAGTACAAAAATAAAATAATTATCATAGTCATCGTGTCACAAATTTGTGGAAAATTTGTGATTTAGAGAGAATAAACGCCATAGTAAAGGCGTTTACGGCCTAACTAACAGATGAAAACAATCAGCGATTTTAGCAAAAGGCAATTGCACGCGTTAGTGGCGACTTTTTCAGTTTTCAAAAAAATTCAGAAGGGGGGGTCTCTTTTTTAGATAGTTTCTGTGGCCTGAAAAGTCGAATAAGCGTTTCGACATAGTAAATGCTTTGATCTTTGCCAGAAAATTATGCTGGGCCTTGCACGAAATCCGGTGAAAATTGTTTATAACAACTTTAAATCTATTTAATGTTTTAGCGATAATAATTAATTGTTGTAATGAAATACAGTTTGCCTCTTTCACTTCTCTCGCAAGTGCCAACAATAACACTATTGAAAGTTTTTGACTATGAGAAAACCATATTAAATTGTACAACAATGAATTACTTGTGCAAAACCGTGGCGCGTGATCGGCGGTGCGTTTGAAGACGGAGTATTACCCGTGCGGGCGCGCATGTTTCACAAATGTGAAGTGCTCCGAAGGCGCTTTGGTCTACATTATTGTAAGAAAACAGTTATAATATCGGTAACTTTTAACCGTTTAATTGCGCTTGACTATCGCACTTTTAGGAAATGATAATTGTAAGGCGGAAACAACATGTGTTAAAATTTTTGTCAGGTTAGGGGTGACGAAATACGGTCGCTGCGAAGAAACCTTAAAGATGTGATTTTCGCATGTCAGAATAGTAGCATCACGTTTTGAACTGGTCATATATAATACCAAACATAGCGTATAATCTGGTAATTTTATGAAAAATATATATGTATCATAGTCAAACGTGGTTTTGTATTTAAACTTAATGTCAAAATGGAAGTGACGACACTGGGTCGTCGAGTCAAGTTAGGGGTGGCGAAATACGGTCGGTGCGTATCAGATTGGGGGTGACGAAATTTACACAGTGCAACCACGACGTAAGTCCCAACGCCACTAGGTGTCGCCCCGCTGAAACACGATAAATTGCTCGTGCTTAAAAGGGAAACGCCATCGATTAAATTCCAGTCTTTCGCTTACCTTGCCCTCGTTCATTAACGGCGCTTCTCTATGTCTTTCACCTCGTAGGTAGCAAAACGCCGTTCATTACATTCCAGCGAATTGCTAACGAAAAGCTGTTAATTATTTTCAACGTTTCCCTCGCTTTACGCCTCGTGGATAGTGAAACACGACTTGAATAAATTCCAGTGTTTCCCTCGTGCCGCGCCTTGCTCGTTGGGTGAATTCGTCAAGACTAAAAACAAAATGCACTTCTTGCGAATGGACCTTTTCCCGACCCTAACCCCAGAAAAATTCTAAACTAAACTGAAGATCCCCGGATGACATAATGACAATTAAAATACTTGATTTATAACTAATTTTTGGAAACTCAACTAAAAAATGACTAATTTAATGCAGGGATGTCCAAATCGAATTTAAATTCAAATATCGCCAACTTCAAATACTGTTTTTTCGTGTTTATAATAATCCCGAATATGGCGCACATATCCTAGCGTCGTCGTCCATGTGTGGTTCGGCAATATATTACAGCTGACATGAAAGAATTTCGATAAACGCCGATTTGAAGAACTTATAAGACTTCGAGGACGTTTTTGATTGAAAATATTTTCTTATCGTGTATTTTAACTTAGTCGAGATGGTTTAGGCGTCCTCGGCAAATTGTGTCTTAATTAGTTGTTTTCATCCTCAGTTTCGATAGTGACCGAACATAACAGGAAATTTTTTCATTTCTTGTAATTTAGCGCGTATAAAATAGCTCTTAAATAGTATTTAATATCTATCGCGGATTTCGTCGGCATCCGGCGTTGATGACAACATCGTTCAGTTTAAGTTTGCGGTATTCATTTACAAACAAAAAACATAACAGCCGACATGAAATATCCAAATCAGCGCAGAGTTCAAAAATAAAACACGTTTTATGGTCTTAATATGCACATAGAAAAAAGAAAGGACAGAGAAATAACGACTAAAAACTAAGAACGGTATGGTATGTTTGTGTACTTTTGTTTACCATCGTCATCATAATCAAATTAGTTAAACCCGATTCCCAAATTTCCGTCCGCCAATAATGGAGAATAAAGATGGAAAAACGTGTTTTACTTTTTGAGTCGGCGTTGATTTAAATTTTTCATGTTATGTGTTATAAATTTTTGATTATAAACCAATACCTCCAACTTAAAATGAACAATATTGTTATAAACGACGTCGGGATAACGATAAAATCTCCGATAGAAACCAAATAATATTTGGAAGCTATTTTATAGATTGCAAGAAATTAAAAAAATTCCCGTTAAGTTCGATAACTATCGAAACTGAGGATGAAAACAATTAATTAGGGCAGGATTTGCTTTTAAGTTTATTGCCGAGGCGCACAACATATCTTGACCAAATTGAAATATACGATAACAAATGTAAAAAATTTTCAACCAAAAACGTCCTCGACGTCTTATAAGCACTTCAAGTCGGAGTTTATTGAAAACCTTTCACGACGACTGTTAGTTATTGCCGTGCCACACATGGCTGCTTTCGATTGCGATAAAAAATAGAATAATTGTGAAATGTTTTTAAATCAGAACGTGGACGGGGGCGGTAGGATGTGTACGGCGTTTTCGGTTTTCGGCCTTTCATCTGTAGAAAATCTTAGGTTAATCGAAGCAATATTTTTTCGAAAATAATTTTCGTATCCAGATTTTCAGAGTTTCTACTGCATTATTATAACATGAAGACGGGCGGCGTTACATTGCGTCAAGATGA